TAAAGGCAGTGCGGATTGCAAGCATCAGATCAGTTGCTGTTCTCATTCCCAAGCTTCATTTTAGACTTACTTTAAGCGGCAACCCTGCACCGGAATTCCTGGTTCTGGGCCAAGTGCGGCAGCCGGCGCCCGTGGATTTCGGAGGTCATGGCAAACGGCAGAGGTCTGAAGCTTAAAGCTAAGCTGTAAAGATGTGGTTGTAGAGCTTTGAGGTTTGGTCTCTAGACTCTAGGGTTTAGGCCTCATTTAGGGAATTTGATGGGTTCTAAACGGGTGCTCTACCAAAGATGTTGGCCTTTCGGGGTTTTCGGGTTCAGGGTTTAGGGCTCAGGTGCGAGCCACCTCTGGCACAGAGCTCGACCGCCTAAGGGGACGCAGGTTGAAACGAGCGTGCTTGTGGGTTTGGGGACGAGAGTGGACACTGAGCGTAGGGTTTAGGCTTAAGGTTTAAGCGACTTTGCAAGTCCGTACCTTTGACTGGAGATTGGCCTGTTCTTCTGTTGGTTCCGCACCAAGGGTGCACAATTGTCGATTCCAGGAGGCACCAAAATAGAATAAACCCTAAACCCTAAACCCCTAAACCCTAAACCCTAAACCCTGTAGGGCCTCGATCGCTCTGCTGCCTCGCTCTTCTGCATTTCTAGAGCCCGAGCCATGCTCCAAGGTGGGCATTATGGGGCGTTCTGGGTGCGAGGGGTCACCTCATAGAGGGTTTACCCTAAGGCCCTATAGTAGTTCCTTGTTGGGGTTACTTTATAGGATTCTAAATATGAACCACAAACAGGAACTACTATGGGGCCTTAGGCTAGAGTTTAGGGATGGGAGTTCTGGACTCTCGGGGGAAACCTTCTTGTTGGGGCTGTTAACCTTGGAGACGTTACCTGTAAATCTAATTGCCTTCACCCGCTTGCTCCCTGCAATCGCCCTGAAACATAAATCATAAGAAGTTCCTACAATCATAGGGACCCTTAGGGGGCCTTGATGCCCATAATAAGGACCCAATAAGCCCAATTTAAGGAAGTATAGTCCCTTCCCTTAGGGTCCCTATGATACAACGACACGCAGATCCAAGCTCTCTACAATGCAAGTGAGTTTTCAAGGCCCTAAACCGTAAAACCAGCAACCCTCAACGCCAAACGACCACGCCTAGGAAACCCTTGAAGCCCTAAACCCTAAAACCAGAAACCCTCAACGCTAAACGACCACGAATAGGAAACCCTTGAAGCCCTAAACCCGAAACCCTCAGACATGAACCCAGAGAAGACAGAAAGGAGGCAGTGGAGCAATAGACCCCGAACCTTTCGACCTAAGTCCAAAGCCCAGAACCCCAGAACTCCTCCGCAGAGAGGTTAGGGGTCAAACAGGTCAATCGTGCGTAAACCCAAGGAAATCTCAGCAGCCTAAGCTGCCTGACCCTAAACCCTAAACCGTAAACCTAAGAAAACATCCAAAAGGACAACCCAGCAACATAAACGATAATTTACAAGAAGCCTATACATGAAAGCCCAGAAGACTCATTGCAAAAAGCGCGCAACCTGTGCTAACATCCTTACAAAGCCCTTGCGACTAAGCTCATCATCAAGAAGGTCCTCAAACTGAAGCCAAACGGAACTTTTGTTCTACTTATGATGCCAGACTACCCTACATGTTCGCACAAATCTTCCCTAAAAAGCCTTATACATACCCACGTGAAACCCAGAAGATATCGCTTTTTCAGTCGGTCAGACCAGCAGGTGACGCCTTTGCAGCAGAGGCCTGGAAAAGTGGAACGCGGGGGGCGTGGTTTGATTCATTCAAGTTTTGAGGATCCTTTCTTCAAGCTTTGAGGATCCTTTCTAAAGGTCACGTTCGGGGCAGGGGTGTGGTAAGGGTTCTATTCTATAAGAGCGTTGAGGGGTTCCTTATAAGGACAGTCATGAGGCACAGCGGTTAGAATGGAGGTAAGTGTAGGCTTGTACTGACGGGCCTCTGTGATTATTGACTTCTTGGTCGCATTCAACAATACAACCCGAACCTTCCCCCTAAACCCTAAACCCTATAAACCCCCAAACCCCAAACCTCCTGCATTCAACAATACAACCCAAGCCTTCCCCCTACCTGGACCCTAAGGAACCTACCTTTTTAGGGCTCCCTAATATGATTTCTTTATATAAGTCCTTAAAAAGGTAGGTTACGTGGGGTTAAGGTACAGCCTAAACCCTACAAACCCCCAAACCCCAAGCCTCCTGCCCTGAACCAATGCAGAGTTTTACGGGTTCGAGCTTTTCTCAGCCGAATGCACCCGATCTCTACGTCCACAACAAAACTGGAACAGCAGGATAGAAATCCTTAAAACCTGAAAAGGGTTAGGTTTTTTGGGGTTTAGGTCAAGCTTCGGGCTACTGGGGTTTTGGGGTTTACAGATGCATGGGCTCAGGTTGTAGCAATGATTTGGGCCTCCGACCTCCTACCCCAGAGTTCGCCGTTCACGGCCATGTGGCATACGGTTCGTATAAGAACTTCCCTAAACCCTAAACCCTAAACCCCCACCGGCCCCTAAAAGGACACCCAAATCTAGACTCATCAAAGCTTCAAAGGAGCCTTCTCTGCTCCCACACATGCCCCACATACATCCTACCTGTTCCGACCTTCCCTAAACTTCATGCTTACAAGTTTAGGGTGAAGGTTTCTGCATCTGGGAGCTGAGCACTCTCGGAGTGGAAGACTTATGGGGTTTAGGGTCTAGCACCTGCGGCTCGGGAGTTTAAGAGTGCTTGGGGGCTTTGGTGGAATTCTTACCTTTGGTTAGAGGGAATGGAGGAATGGGGTACAATTATAACTGCTATTACTACCAGTCTTCCATTCCCTACTAACCAAAGCTAAGAATTAGGAGGTTCAGGGGTAGTTGTAAGTAGGGTTACAAGTAGGGTAACTATACCTATAACCCATGTTAAGGGACTTATAACCCTACTTGTAACTACCCCTGAACCTCCAAGTAGGAGGTGTTGTGCAGGGCCTTTGCTCTACGTACGTCGGGCTTCGGTCTTAACTTTTCATATTCAGGCTCTTACTGGACCCTAAAGCACTTCTAGGGCTTCTTATTAAGATTTCCTTATATACGTCCTTAAAAAGGTAGGTTCTTCAGGGTTCAGGTTTAGGGTTTAGGGTTTAGGGTTTAGGGTTTAGGGTTTAGGGGTTTAGGGTTTAGGGTTGTCTTGTTTTTGGTGAGTTTGGCAAGACTTCTGACTCCAAATATCTGGTCTTTTGGACATTCTTTGGCACTGAGCCCCCTCCCCAAACAGGGCGACCACCATCCCTAAACCGACTACACACTGCCATCCTCTTTGCAGACGGCTGAATACTTGCCAACAGTATTTCTAGGGTTCCTGATTATACTTAGAATAAAATACACCCCAAAACCCTGTTCTAGTTCCTACAGCCCCTAAATCAAGTGCAGACGGCTGTATTCCCGGCGTGAACATTCCGCGTTGCAGAAGTTTTCGCGTAGGAGACACCGAAGGGTTCAGGTTCCCCAAGAATCACAGTCTTAAAGTAGAAGCCAGAAAGTTGGAAAATCATTATCGTAACCCCTTTAAGGTAAATTATAGGGGATCCTACCATTAATCCATATTCCAACTTTCTGGAGTTCCCTTTAAAGCTTTGTTGCTTAGCCGGAGTTTTTGGCCCAAGAAGGCAGCCTGAGAGGCACCCTCAATACTCATAGTAATAGTGATAGTAACAATAATAGTACTGGTAATGGTAATTAATAGAAATAGCAATAGTAATGGCAATAGTAGTAATCATAGAAATAGTAGTACTGGCGATAAAATCAATAGAATGTTACAAAAGATTCGAGTGCGGAGTTCGGGATTTTCGGGCCTGAACCCCCAGAACACTTGGCAAACCTCGAAGGGCTACTCGATTAAGCAGCCCACTTTGGAGGTTAAAATTGTGGTCTTTAGGTCTGAAAAGGGACACTTTGGTCCGCACGCTTCACATGGGGGCGGTTCCGAAAGAGGGGACTTTCATGAGCGGGATCTTCTCTAAATTCGGGTTTGGGGGGCATGAACCAGATCTCAAGCTAGCCTAAACTGCTTTTTTGCAGGCTCTTATTCCAAACCCTAAACCCTAAACCCCAATATTTAGATTATGGGGGGCATGATCTTGTGAACAAACTCGGGACAGAAGGAGATCTGCGAGGGCTCGTGGAGGATGTTCTATGCCCCCCTTAGAACCATAACAAAAACAGTCGTTTCAATATCCTCTTGGGTTCTATGTGAACTAAAATATAGACAAAAGTAAACCCCAGAAAGCTGGAACATGATGTTGCAACTTTCTGGCTTTTACTGAAATCCGAAATCCCAAGGGGGCTATATGGGCGAAATCATAGTAGAACCTAGATTTCCTGGGGTCTTTACTCTAACAGAAGGTCCGAATCCGGACAAACACTTTAGGGTTTACCTGGACCCTCTGGAACCTACGTTTTTAGGGCCCCCTGATATGATTTCTTTATATAAGTCCCTAAAAAGGGTAGGTTCCTCAGTGTCCAGGTAGGGTTCAGGGGTACGGCTGCCTCAGCTTGTGGAAACACCCCCCCCTGTGCAAGCTTGAGAGCTCCATGTCAACTGGACAGGGGTTTGGGGCGCACCATCAAGGGATCGGGGTTTAGGATTCAGGAGTAGGGCTTAGGGTTAGGGTTTAGGAATCAGGGACTAGGGTTTAGGGTTTCGTCATGAGGATTGGGGCCCGAAACGTACGTTTCAATCCACACGGCGAGTCATCGAAGTCAGAATAAGTCAGACGGTTGAGGATGTTGGGTTGCGGGTTTACTGCAAGATGTACTTCGTAAGGTTGATGGATTTTGACAGGACTTGAGGCATCCGGCTTGCTCACGACTGTGTAGGTAGGAGTCAAGGACAGTGAGCTCCCTGGAGACTACTACGAAAGAACAGCTGGGAGATACCGGCACAACACGGTGAAGCTTGCTGGCGAAGCAGAAGGAACGATATCCCCAAAGTGACTCACGGCTGGAAAAACGCATAGACGGGGAACTCGAGTTTATCCAAAACCGATCTCTCCCAACGGCAACCAACGCCCAGAGGCATCTTGGTGTGTTCATGGACAGATGCTTTCCTGTCGAATTCAGAGCCATCAGAAGTCTTGATCTTCCTTTCCCCCCACCCCTCAGGCTTGCCGTTCGTGAAGACTTCCCTGGCAGGCAATGCGGACATCTGGACGTAGAGAACAAAGTATTCCATACAATTCCTAAAGCCCAAACCAGGTAACCAGTTTTATAATGAATTGACATGAAACTCAACTGAGCCATCGAAAACTTGACAAGTTACAGCTGTCTTAAGAACTAGCAGAAGCTCTGGCGGTAAATTCAAATTAATATATAGATCTAACAAGGAATCGTAAGGAATAGCACTACCATTTACCTGTGACCCCAAACCCTACAAAATAGTAGGTTTTGACCCCTTATTTGCAAGGCAGAACCCTTAAAACGGTAGGTTTTTGGATCCACAGGTTAAACCCTAAACCCCTAAACCCTAGACCCTAGACCCTAAACCCTGGACCCCAAACCCTAAACCCTCCCGAAAACCCCACCTTTCTAGGCCGTGCTCGTGAGCATCCTGGTCCGAGAGCTCGGAGGAGCCGGCGCGGAACTCTTCCACCCAGTCCTTGGGTGGCTTAGGGGCTTGGGGTTACGGTTTTAATGTTTTAAGGTTTAGGGTAGGTTTAGGGGTTAAGGGTTTCCGGATTCAGGGATTTAGGAGTTTAGGTGTTTAGGGTTGAGGGGTTGTTGAGGGTTTATGGTTTAGGCTAGGGTTTTAGGGGTCTGGGGGTTTCGGGGTGTAGAGGTTTAGGGGTAAGGTTTAGGCTTTAAGGACTAGGTTTAGGGTTTGGAGTTTTTGTGGTTAAGTTTAGGGTTTAGGGTTTCAGGGGTGAAGTTGAGGGTTTAGGGCTTCAGGGGTTTGGAGTTAAAGATGTACTTTGAAGGCTCATTTGGTCACGGGCCTGAGCCCCTACGGGGTTCCTTAAAGGGCTCTTTGACAGGGGTCTACAAGGGTTCTAGGAGGGTTCCTTAAAGGGCTCTTTTATAGGGATGTATAAGGGTTCTATAAAGGGAGGGTTTAGGGTGTAAGGTCTTTCGTGTGTAGGGCTTAGTATTTTCGGGTTTAGTGTTTAGGGGTTCCTTCGAGATGATTCATATGGGAGCTTCCTAAAAGAGGGGACCCTAATAATATAGCACCGTGAATAGTAGGATCCTTACTATAAGGACCCCCAAAATAAGGTACCCCTAATCTTTTGGAAACTCCCATAAGGGACTCTATAATCTATAAGGGATCTATGAGGGTGGTCGAGGGTGCTAATAAATACTTTAGAGTTTAGGGCTTGGGCTTTAGGGTTTAGGGTTTAGGGCTTGCGGCCTTAAGGGTTTAGGGCTCCTTCAAAGATTTTACAGGGGGGGCCTGTCAAGAGGTTAGGGTTTAGGGCTTAGGTCTTGAGGGTTTACTTGGAGGATCATGGGACTTGGTTAGTAAGTGATAAGGAACTTCATTTGAAGGTAGTTACTAAGACTAAGACCCCTGAGCCTCTAAGTAGGGCTTAAGGGGTTAAGGAATTTAGGGTTCCATTAGGGGGGTTGTGTGAGGGTTTGGGCCTCAGGGTTTAGTGGCTTTAGGGCTTGGTTTAAGATAGGGGTAGGGGGGTGTAGAAGGGTTTTTGCGTTCTTAAAAGGCGTTCTGGGGACGCCTCTACAGGCTAGGGTAGTTTAAAGCTCAAGGGACTTACGAGATTAAGGGTTCCCTTCACTTTGGCAAGTCCGGTCTTATGGAACCTCGGGGGTTTGGCGCACTATGAGGGTTCAGGGCCTCGGGGTTCGAGGAGCGCTTAAGGGGATTGGAAGGGGGTTGTCAGAGGGTTCTAGACTGGGCACCATATCGACTGGTTTTGAAGGCTCATTGTATGGGGGGGGGGGGGGGGTTGTCGCAGCTTTTATTGCTTTGTTTGCTCGGATTCAGGGCTTAGGCCAGCTGGGTAAGTTGAAAGCACCACGAAAACTAGGCAATGTATGCCCTGAACCTCCACAGGGAGGAGTTCTCAAAAGCGATATCCCAACAAAACCTATATCCTAAAACCTGAAGTTTAAAAAGACGTCATTTGGGCAGTGAGGCGGATTTGGGTGTCTAACGTTCACGGGCATGTGGAGAGTTGTGGGTTGGGAATAGTTCCCGCAGAGCAGACTATGAAGCCCTCCATTTCAGGAACATCAGGTTCGGGCTTGGGGATTTTTTGAATTTAACGTTTGGGGCTAAAGTTCTGGAGTTTAGGTTTTTGGGTCCAGGGGGCTTAGGGTTTAGGGTTTAGGGTTTAGGGTTTAGGGTTTAGGTTTTGGGATGCTCGCAGACCCAATAGCCAATGACAACTATCTCCTTGGAGTACGTTGGCAAAAGCTCATTTACAGCTCGTGTGTAGAACCCATACGGAATCCTTATAACACCCTGCTCGAAACGCTCAAATGCCTATCTGGGGCATGGATTTTCTGTCAGGATATCCGAAGCCCGTTGGGGAACTGGAAAGCCTGAAATCCGAAATCCAATCCCACGAGTACTGGAGCTGTAGATTTTGAAGCCTCTGGTTTAGTTTCTTGGAGTTGAGGTTTTCATGGCTCAAGATGTGGAGTCGGTGCAGGAGTGTAGGGTGTACTGGGCTCTTTTTGCGGAACTGCAATGCTGTTACCAGCAAACGGGCTGGCAGAAATTTTAGATAAATCTTTGCATGACAACTTAGATCCAAAAGTCCTTCATAATATATAGAACCCTCACAACAACCCCATGTAAACCAAGTTCCTCCCAAAAGGCCCTTAAATCACTTCTATACAACCCTAAAACCCGTGCAGTGCCCCCCTTAGCTAAACCCTTTACCCCTAAACCCCGAAACTCTAAAGCTCCTAAACCCCTTAAGAGCTAAATTCCGAGGTTTCGAAGGACCGGATCGAGCCAAGCTTCCGGATGGTAGATGTTCGACACGGCACAGCCTGGACTTTGGAGTAACCAGGGAGAAAAAGGTATAGACTTTTAAAGCCTAACCCCTAAACCCCGAAACCCCAAACTCCAAAGCCAGGCAGCAGATGACTTCTCCAAGTGCAGCGTGTTTCCGCACTTCGCGTATCCAGTGGCAGCACCAGCCTCAAGCTATACCCAGAGAGCCCAATACCCCTTAATTAAGGAATATACCTTAAATCATTACTTGGAGGGTCGGGGGACTTAGTAAGTAGGTAGTAAGTAGACTTATAAGTACCCTAAAAGGAACCCTAATTGGGGCTGCGGTACTTATAAGTCCCTAACATAACTTCTCACGAAGTCCCCCGACCCTCTAAGTAGGGGCTTCATAATATGATTTAAGCTATACTCCTTAATTAAGGGGTATTGGGCTCTCTGGCTCTCTGAGACGGGAAACAAACGCGGGAAGGTACTTAGTGCTCAGGGTTTAGGGTTTAGGGCTTGGGGGTTTGGGAGTTTAGGGTTTAGGGTGGGGAGGTACTTAGGGTCACCAGTCTATGTTTCCGAGCCGTGATGGCCCCTCTTGACTAATCCAGGGAGGTCAAAAGGTGGCACGAGTGCCTAGTGGCTAAGCTCCTCGGTTTTGGGCATGAAGATGACTCCTCATTTCGGGTGTCGGGTTTGCCACTCATACTTATGCGGGTCCGGGTATCGGGCTCCACACGAGGATTCCTTGTAAAGGGTACTGTTCATAAGGTTGTGAAACAGGGTTCCTTTGACAGCACACGACAGGGTTCTAAAACAGGGGCTCCGTTTACACATGGCGGTACTTGGAGGCCCATCGGACTTAGCAAGTAGGTAGTAAGTAGACTTATAAGTACCCTAAAAGGGAGCCTAATTGGGGTTATGGTACTTATAAGTCCCTAGCAAGTAAGTAGTAAGTAGACTTATAAATACCCTAAAAGGGACCCTAATTGGGGTTATGGTACTTATAAGTCCCTAAACTAACTACTTACAAAGTCCCCCGACCCTCCAAGCAGTAAACCCTAAACCCTACACCCTAAATCCTAAACCCTAAACCGCCCCTAGAGATCCCCTTGAAACCGACCCTCCAAGTAGGCTTTGGGGTTCAGAGAATCCTCGGCTGTCTACTTCAGCTTTGACCTCGACTCGGCGGTTTTGCTTGGAGGCCCAGGGGACTTAGTAACTAGGGTTCCTTAAACGGTTCCTTAAAAGGGTTCCTTAAACGGCTCCTTACAAGGGTTCCTTAAACGGTTCCTTAACAGGGATCTATGAGGGATCTATAACGGCGGGGGGGGGGGTTATTGGGGGGAGTTCTTGGGGTTACTTAAAAGCCAAGGGGACTTGCATGAAGCCTGAGCCAAGCTGCATCTGAACTTTTCTCCCGGTCGCGGGTCCCGCCTCGCGCTGCGAGACTCGACCTGGCTGCCAAGAGACGTTTGGGAGTTTCCGAAAATAGGGGACCCAAATAGGGATCTCTATAAGGGGAGGGTTTAGGGTGTAAGCGGTCTCAGGGCTCGAGTGCTTTCGGGTTTAGTGTTTAGGAGTTCCTTTGAGATGATTCATAAGGGAGTTTCCGAAAACAGGGGACCCTAATATAGCACCGTAAATACTAGGATCCTTTTTACACGCACCCCTTTTGAGGCGGAGGGTCTTTTTAAGGCTGCCATGCGCTCCCGACATTGCAAAAAGCGGAATAATTCTGGATGGCGCGTCGGCACAGCTACCAGGAGGCGGAGGGCTTAGGGTTTAGAGTTTTGGGGCTCAGCGTTTTAGGGTTCAGGGTGGGTTTAGTGTTTAGGGTTTAGGGCTGGAGGTTTAGGACTTGAGGGGATTGAGGTTTGGGGGTTGTGGGCGCAGGAAACCAACAGAACCTGAAAACTACAGACCACTCAGTGACCCAGGCGTTTTGACAAGAAACCTGACAGCCCCAAACCCTAAACTTCAGCCCTAAACCCGAAACCCTAAACCTTAAACTGACACCTAAATCCTAGACCTTAACTAAACAGTCAAACCCTAAACACTAAACTTAACGGTAACCTGGGATTACTAATCCCCCTTGATTAAAGACGCCACCTCGGGGTCCGGACCTCAGAAAAAGGCAGGGGCGAGAGGAGTCTGAAAGGGCGACACCGACCCCCACGAACAGGCTTAGAGTTTATGGGGGGAGTACGGTTTATAGGGGTTTAGGGTTTAGGGTTTAGGGGTTTAGGGTTTAGGGGTTTAGGGGTTTAGGGGTTTAGGGTTTATACTGAAGGGTTTAGGGTTCATAGGCCCCCCCCCCCCCCCAGATGAAAGGCTATTTGGAAACAGAAAAACACAACACGAGCTACCCTGCGGGGGGGGGGGGGGGGTTATTAATCCTAGGTTCCCATTAAACCCTAAACCCTAAAACCTTAACAAAGTAGCCGAGCTTCCTTGGAGTTCCACATTGGATGCCAGCTCGGGCTTCCCCTAGCGGGAACTGGCACACCGTCACGGCCGCAATCTCCAGGAGGATGCATCCATCTGAGTAGTTCAAGGGTTTAGGGTTTAGGGCTTGGGGTGAAGGTTTTAGGAATCAAGGCTTAGGGTTTGGGGTTTAGGAATCAAGGCTTAGGGTTTGGGGTTTAAGGACATTTGAGGGTACCGCTAAGTTTAAACTCCACGCACTGAACTCTGATAGAAACATTACAGATCATGCTGGGGCCCACCGATAGACAAATCATTGCAGACAGCCAAAGAAGCCTGCCTTTAGCAGCCCAATGATGAAGATGAAAGGAAGGCTTGTTCGACAGACAAAAACTCGATTCTCGCAAAAATCAGTGTTCTTGAATTCAACCCTAAACCCTAAACTCTAAACCCGAAAGTGTATGTGCAGGTAGCGCCAGGACAAAGTATCTTCTTACTCATCGCTGATCACGAACTGTACGACTGTCTTACGCTGCCTCAACTTCTGGGAACCGTGTAACGTAGAACCGTGTAGCCCAGATCCTAAACCCTCAACCGGAAACATAGACACCCTAAACGCTACAACCGAAACACCAAACCCTAAACCCTCAAAGAAAGCCTACACCAAGGCGCCGGAACTTCCCATCGTCACCTTTGTCCGCGAAGTTTCCGAGGACCAGCTCATCACCAAACCACACCGTGGCAGTGTCTGCGCGGATCCGGATCTAAAACATGTGGGTAGTTGTCAAAATTATGGCCCCTTTGTGGGTACCCTCAATATTAGGTGCCGTATTATATTAAGGACCCCAAAAAAGGGACCCTAATTTTGACAACCACCCATGTGGGGGTTTGAGAACGTTGTAGAGCTTGGCAAAGGCCGCCTTCGTAGTTTGAATAGGGCTCACTTCAAACGGGGATCTATGGGGGTTCCTTAAAGGTACCTTAAAGGGATCTATGTACCTTAAAGGGATCTTTTCAGGGGATCTATAAGGGTACCTTAAAGGGGTCTATAAGGGGATCTATAAGGGTACCTTAAAGGGATCTATAAGGGGATCTATAAGGGTACCTTAAAGGGGTCTATAAGGGTTCTAGAACAAGGGTTTCAAGGCTCTGTACAGGGACCTTCGCAATTAGATCGGGACATCTCTTGAGTTCATATAGAGGCAGCCGAAGGTCAAATGAACAATATTGGCAAACATTCAGGTTTCTATGTCAAAACCATCGGAGGGGTCGGTCATGTCATGACCCTCTCGCTGCTACACCTACTACCCGCTTCAATGATGCTTGCAGCTATCTGTATCATGAAGCTCAGCACGTTTGCTTCTGCTGCGCATTATTGTATGTTATTGTCATTGCTGCTGTGGCTACAATTTTTTGGCATTGTGCGCAGCATCAGCAACATGCATATTGCTGTCAATGTTGGTGCTGCGATCGTTCTCATGTCAAGTCTTCCTGCGATCAGCAGCACTAACACGATGGTTCACTTACGGACAGCGTCTGATCCGCTTATATCCCCTGATAATGATCCCTGAACCCTAATCTCTAAAACTTAAGCCGGAAACCCAAAACCCTAACCAATCCCTGACACCCGAACCACGAAGCCCTCCACCCTAACCCCCAGGCTCCAAAACCCCAAACACCTTTTTGAGTATGGTCTTCGGGCCTCTGAAAAATAGTGTTGATGATATAAATCCTGCATTACCTTAATGACCCCCTACTATGGGAGTTATGCACCGTGATGACCCTGGACTATGGGAGTTATGTACCTTAATGACCCTGGACTATGGGAGGTATGGATATTCCGTACTGTTACATCATCAACCGTATGGGTCTCCGGAGCCTTCGGATTCACCAAGGCCTTGTTAATTGAGGGCTTGGCGTTTACATCTCATGGGTTCAGGTTTTGGGCCTTAGGTCAGGCACCGTAGGGTTTCAAGCCTTGCCTCTGAATGTTTCAATCTTCTGGGCTTCCTGACTTCAGTGCTTGGGCCAACTAGGCGCATCCTTTCCAAAACTGTTAAGTCAGTAACATGGCTTTGAACAGCTCGAAAGCAGCTACAAGCAAAATACTGGGCCCGGTCCAGTTTGACGCAGATTTCCTGCCAAGCAGCCACCATGCGGCGCATTCCTTACCTGGGTGGTTGTCAAGATTATGGTCCCTTTTTGGGTACCCTAAATATTCGGTGCCGTATTATAGCAAGGAGCCAAAACGGGACCCCAATTTTGACAACCGCCCACCTCATCCATCACTCTGTCGTAGGCTTCGCCCCCCGGGACGGAGGCACAGGTTGCATCGAAGCTCTGGCGCATCCTGTCAGAGTGTATTATAGGGACCTGAATAATTAGAATAGGGTTTTGGGGTAAAAAAGACTATAATTATAATAAGGAACCACCCAAGAAGTATAGGTAATTATTAAGGCCCCTACATTCGGTGCTTTCGGCTTTAGAATTTAAGGTTCAGGGTGCATGGTTTAGGTTGTTTCGGGGGTTCAGGGTTTCGGGTTTAGGGGTTAGGCTTCAGGATTTTCAGCTCCAGTGTTTAGAGTTCGGGTTTCGGGTTGGTGGATTTCTGCAGTATCAGTGCCCGGCGACCTCACCACGACCTCAATACTTCGGAATGCCTTGTTGATAACTCTAGGATAATGTAACATAATGCAAACAATCGAAGGTAATTCAACATAATATAACATACCAGACTGTAAATATGTAATGTAATACCAAACCTTTTAGCATCGCTTAGATCGACTTCTCAGGCAACGCTGGGCTTCCGGCCTGGCAAAGCAACCAAAGCTGTTGTAGTAGGTGAACACGATCCCCTTGCCAGCTTCCTTCTTGCATTCTGCTTGGAAAGTCTTGAAGTCGGATTGTGCTGCGAGATCATGGGCCACGTAGTTTAATAGCCAAAAGGCCTTCGTTTCCCTGACAAGGTCGCGAATGAAGCCCCTCTCACTTCGCAGCCACTCACAGGCATATTGAAAGGCTGTGCCATCTTGCCTCACAGCTTCTTTCACGATGTTCCTATATCTCTGCTTCTTCTCTTCATCCCCGTCGCAACGGTGCCAAAGATCCTCAGCGGCGAACTGCAAGGCGTCACCGGTCCGTGCTACGGCGGCCTCGACGATCCTCAGATCCCTTCGCAGCTCGTCGTGGGCGAACTGCAAAGCATCACCCTGCTGTCGCACCGCGGCTTCCACAATCTCCTAGCAGGGCTGAGGATCTAGGGTATGTTTTTAATGCCAGGGCTTAGGATCTAGGGTTTAGGATCTAGGGGTTTTAGGGGTTTAGGGGGTTTAGGGGGTTTAGGGGTTTAGGGTTTAAGTTCCTTAAGGCATCTCCTGAATACGCCTACCACGGAGGGGCTTCTTCTCAGGGCTCCAGAAGCCTTTAGACGGAGTTTCTACTCAGTTCACCTGTAGCCCCTTAATCATCAGGCACCCTTTTTTGCGATTACTCAACTTTCAATAGCTGTCATGCGGACCCCCCCAAACCCTAAACCCTATACCCTAAAAGCCCCCAACCCTTAGCCCGAAAAGGGCTCTACTAAAAAAGCCCAAGTTTCCTTGTCTTTCTGCAGTTTTTCGGCCGCAAACTGCAGGGCATCGCCTTTAGGGTGGTAGGGCTTGGGAAATCGGTTTATGAGGGTTTCCTGGGTTTAGGGGTTTGGGGTGGTTTTGGGGTTTAGGGGTGGGGTTCAAGGGTTGGGGTTTTGGGGTTTAGGGTTTAAGGGGTTTTTGGGTTTAAACCCCTAAACCCTATATACCCTAAACACTATAATACTCTATATAGTATCCCTAGATCCCTTTAAACGGACCCCTAAACCCTCATCCCTACAATAGCTTAGAAGGGGCCCCCACCCTGTAATAGTGGTATAGTAGGAATATGATAGGGCCCGAACATAATCCTTATAGTCACTATTAAAGGGTGGGGGCAGCTTCTAAACAATAGCCTTTCTTTTCCACCGCCAGCTTCACCATCTTCGGGCTCCTGCGAAGCTCGTCTGCAGCGAACTGCAAGGCGTGGCCGTGCTGCTGAACCTTGATTGCGTGTTCAGGGTTTAGGGTTTAGGGTCTGAGCTCATCAACCCCAAAAAGGGGTACACCTTCTGTTGTGTAAAGGATGTTGCTATCCCAGAAAGTGTAAAGTGAGCTCCATTCAGCTACTAAGTAGCTGCTTTCTCGACGACGCTCTCGTTTTTCTGCAGCTCGGCGGAAGCGAATTGCAACGCGTTGCCATTCTGTTCTACAGCTGCCAAGACGACCTGGGAGTTTCCGAAAATAGGGGACCCTAATATAGTATCCCGAATAGTAGGATCCTGATAAAAAGGACCCCAAAGTAAGGACCCCTAGTTTTCGGAAACTCCAAACCCTAAACCCTTTATAGAGCCCTTATAGATCCCTTTAAGGTACCCTTATAGATCCCCTTATAGATCCCTTTACGGTACCTTTAAGGAACCCCCATAGATCCCTTTAAGGAAACCCCTATAGATCCCTCTAAGGAACCCCTAGTTTTCGGGAAACTCCCACCCTTTTGCTCTTCTGCAGATCGCTAGCCGCGTGCTCCAGGGCCTCCCCTTGCCTTGTTCATGGTTGGGATAGGATGAAAATTTAAATTTGTATTCCTTCTTTAGGGTTTGGGGTTTAGGGTCTAGGGTTCGTGGTTGGGATAGGATTAAGAATGTGATGTCTTATTCCTTATTGGGTTTAAGTACCCATAAAATGTAAAATGTTAGCCAACTATGACAAAGTTGCTGCTGCACGGCAAGTAAGACGATGCCTTCATTTCGTTGGAGCTCCGGTGCGGCGAACTGCAAGGAATCCTGGGTTCGTGTTCAGGGATGTACTTTAAGCTAGCAGAATTAAGAAACCATACTATTTACTATATATAGATGCCTAATACGGTAACTTTTAAGTTAGCATAATAAAGAAACCATATTATTTACTACAGATCCCTAATATGGTAGCTTTTAAGTTAGCATAATAAAGAAACCATATTATTTACTATGTATAGATCCCTAATATGGTAACTAGAAACCCTATTGTTTACTATGTCTGGATCCCTAATATGTAACTAGAAACCCCATTGTTTACTATACATAGATCCCACCCAGAATCTCCCTGCTTCCTTACGGCTGTCTCCACGATCCGCGGCTCCTTCCGGAGCCTGTCAGAGGCGAACCTTCGTTGCTGAGTTTAGGGTTTAGGGTTGAGGGCTTAGGGTTTAGGGTTTAGGGTTTAGGGTTTAGGGTGTAGGGTTAAGGGTTAGTTCATGTGCCCCCCGCAAGTGTACACTTTTGTTTTCAAAGTGGGTAGTAGTATCCCCAAACAGTGTAAAGTGTATCCACTCAGCTACAAAGGAACTGCAAGGCGGTGGCTTTCTGCTTCACTGCTGGGAAGACGATATCCTCCTCATCTTGGAATTCGGGGGCAGCGAACTGCAAGGCATCGCCGTCATTTCTGACCGCTGCCAGAACAATGAAGTGATCCTAGGCTGGCCCTTGAAATCCTCTGAAACAATGCTCTTAAGCAAGATCCTCTTAAGCCCAGCAAGAGAGAAGATCAAAAAAACCCTAAACCCTAAACCCTAAACCCTAAAGGCCTAGCGAGGATCCTTCTGAAGCTCCGGCGACGCAAACTCCAAGGCACAGCCGGAGTGCTTCACTGCCTTACTTGTCGGTTGTCGGGTATCATGGAGAACTGAAGGTTAACCCTTTTTTGGTTATATATGCTGGTTCTATAGGGACTATAGGTTAAAGGTCGCCTACTCTACTACTAGGAAGGGCTCCTTTTCAATGAAACGCTCTGGACTTCCTATACTTAGATGCCTCTCCACTACTACAGTTGATGATATAAATCCTGCATTCACCATAGTAAGGAATATACCATAACTCCCACAGTTTAGGGTTCTTAAGGTAATGCAGGATTTACATCATCAACCGTAGGTTGCCTCCACCACGATGTTCTTCACCTTCCTCAAGTCTCTGGCGGCGAACTCCAAGGCGCTACCATCCTCAAGGAACTCAGTCGAAGCTACCATAATAGGGATCTATAAGGGTTCCTTTAAGGGTTTAGGGTTTAAGATGGCGTATTTTAAGTTACCATAATAGGGATCTATAGAAAATTCTTATGGTAACTTAAATCAAACCCCTTAACAAGAACCCAGCATCATTCGAGACCGCGGCCAGTACAATGTCGGGATCCTTCTGATGCCTCCAGCTGGCGAACTGCAAGGCACGGCCCATCTTCTTCATTGCATCCATCACCGTACTTCTGAGTTTGGGCTTGTTCTGCAGATACTCGGGGATGAACTCCAATACCTCCCCACCTCCGTCCAGCATCACGGCCTTCCGCACGATGTCCTCATTTTCCTGCAGGTCCGGAGGGGCGAACTGGAAACTGCAAGGCTTGTTCTCGACGGCTGCGATGACGACGTCGGGATCCATCCGATGCTCGCAGTTCACATAGGCGAACAGCAAGGCATCGCCGTCCTGCCCGACTGCTGATAAGACAATCTCCCGGTCCCTCGCAAGCCTCTCTGCAGCGGATTTTGGGACTTTGAGGCTTTAGGGCGTTTAGGGTTGGGCGCGGTGGGGCTTAGGACCTTAAGGGTTTACGGATTTCGGCATATTTTGGGGGGCTGTGGGACTTTAAGGGTTTACCGATTTCGGCATTTTTTGAGCGGCTGTGGGGCTTGAGGCATGGCATACGGGCTTTGGAGTCATGGGCTTTGGGGTTTCGGGGGATTCAATACACCCAACACCCAACACGTTTGGAGTAGGGTTTAGGGGATGTAAACCCTAAACCCACAAACCCCGAAGCCCCTAAACCCCTGAACCCCTGAACCCACTTTTGGCTTCAGGTTTGTGGGGATTCTCAAATTGTTGGCTCGTAGGCCTTTCGCTGGCAAACTTCAAGGCATGGCCATTCTTCTTGACTGCCTCAGGTTTTCGGCTTTTAGGGTTTCAAGAGGGTTTCGGGGTTGAGGGCTTCGGGGTTTAGGGTCTAGGGGTTTAGGGTTTGGGGTTTCAGGATTTAGGGTTTTGTGGTTTAGGGTTTCGGGTTTCGGACTTGGGCCTCTTGCTTCGGTACAGGATTAAGATTCTAGCGAAGATCAATTTCTCATACATTAGAAGGGGCCCCCACCCTGTAATACTGCTGATGGACAAAATCCTGCATGACCCTGAGGACTCTAAACTATGGGAACTATGGTATATTCCCTATAAAGGGTAATGCAGGATTCTGTCCATCAACAGTAGTGGTATAATAGGAATATAAGGGCCCGAATATAATCCTTATAGTCACTCTTACAGGGTGGGGGCCCTTCTAACTCATACACTGTTCCTTGCAAACAACTCTTCTAGAACTATTCAGTCAGAGCCCCTCTCAGGTCCGACGAAAGCTGAAAACCCTCAATCCTAAACCTTAGAGGTCTAAGCCCCTCAACCTTAGAAGGGGCCCCCACCCTGTAATAGTGACTGTAACCTATAATACTCAACCCCAAACCCTTAACCCTAAACCCCAACCCTAAAGCGCAGACCCAAAACCGTAAAACCCTAAGCCCCAAACCTTAAACCCGGCACCCTAAACCCTAAGCCCTAAGATTAAAGCCTTCTAAACCCCAAACCCCAAACCCAAAACTGCAAAAGCAGCCTTAATGATTAGAACTAGGGTTATGGGGCCCACTATACTATGACTATAATGAGGAACCCGAAACAGCATTGGTAATTCGTTAAGCCCCTATACTACCTCCCTTATAGTATCCCTTATAGTAAACCTTAAATAGATCCCTTGAAAGGAACCCTAAATCTAACTATTTGGCCTATACTATAGTACCCTTATAGATCCCTTATAGACACCCTCATAGACACCCGTAAAGGAACCGCTACTCTGGCATTGAAGGCCTCTATAGTATAGAGGCTCCTACATTACCCTAAGGGTCCAAAGGACCGAATAATTAGGTGCTCGGTTTTAGGATAAGTTATGTAGGTTAGGATTTTGGAGAGTATATGATTATTAGGTACTTGGACCCTTGGGGTTACCCGAAACCCAACGAGCTGCCGCCAAGACAATCTCCCTGTCGTCTCTTAGCTCCTCAGGGGCTCAAACACCCTCAACCCGAAGGGGCTTTAGGGGTTTTAGGGTTTAGGATTTTGGGATTTTACGATTTAGGGTTTAGGGCTTTAAAGTCTTAGGGTTTACGATGTTAGAGTTTTTTAGAGTTTAGGGCTTTAGGGTTTTAGGGTTTAGGATTTTAGGGTGTTAGGGTTGAGGGTTTACATGGACCCTGTAACACCTTGCATTTTTTGGGCTCCCTATCATGACCTCCTTACAAAAGTCCTGAAAGATGCAAGTTATCTGGGGGCCAGGCAGGGCCCTGAAATTTAAGGCGGAAGCCATTTGGGAGGGTTCGCAGGGGCTCAGACCGTCAAAGGTTGAGGGTCTAGGGCTTTGGGGGCTTGGACACTTTAGGGTTCAGGGCTTGGGCCCTCAAGCCCCCCAAACCCAACATCCCAGACTCTAAATCCCAAGACCCTGCACACTAAAACCTTGCACTCGGCTCCTTAGGTGCAAATTCCAGGGCATCACCCTTCTTCTGGACTGCCATCAGGACGATGTCGCGGTCCTGGGTTTCCCAAGATTCCCCTTCGCCCACTGCTTGGAGGGTCGGGGGACTTAGTAAGTAGTGATTTTAGTGACTTATATGTACCATAACCCCATTGGGGTCCCCCCCTGGGTACCCCTGACCAAGTCCCCCGACCCTCCAAGTGCTAAACTAAACACGCACAAAACCCTTTACGGCCGAAAACATCTGCAAATAACAAAACCCCAGGCCCGATTCTGAAAACAAAAAACTGTGTAATGCAGGAACCTGATTAACAAACCCTGGGCCTTTACTAGGGTTCCTTATATGAATCCTGCTATTTTGGGGTTAGAGGCCCAGGGTTTCTTAATCAGGTTCCCACATTAACCCAGGATCCTTCTTCCTCTCTTCGGAGACGAACTCCAGTGCAAAGCCCTCTCGCTCCACAACGGACAGGACAAAGGCGTGGTCTTTCCTGGGTGATTCTTTGGAAGCTCCTAACGGCTACCAGCATATTGATGTATAGGCATATGTATGTATGCATGCATGCATGAAGGGATGGATGGATGCATGTATGTATATAGAGATATACATGTCTGGCTTCACAGCGCTCCTTTAGGGTTTATATAACTCGCCAAACAGCGTGGCAACACCATTGGGGGTTTTGCATTCAGAATAGACAGCAAATGCCGCAAATCATGTCCCAAGTCCTGTGACCCGTGCTGCCTCAGGGTTCCCGGTGTGGTTTGCACCGTGCAACCCGACAAGCCCGATCCATTGCAACGATTTCGGGTGTTCCTGTGGACGTCGAAAGCTAAAGGGGGAAGCATAGGTTTCGTGCTTCCGAAATGCGCCAGGACTTGAAGGGAAAGCAATTTCGCGCTGCTCCGAGCGGCCAGTGCTTAGTGGGAAGCGATTCTTCCCGTGCTCCCGAATCCTGCTGAATCTCGCCAACACTAAGCATTCCGGGGCGTGGTCTTAAATGCCGCCAGTATTTGGAGGAAAGGAAGCAATTTGGCAGTCTCCTGCCGCCGGTCTTCTGGTGGGCTCCTGGCGGTCTCTTGGCGGTCATCTTACGGTGGTCTCCTTGTGGCCTCCTGGTGCTCACACGGTGGTCACTTCGCGGTCGGTTCGTGGTCGTCTGGTGTTGCGGTGGTCACTGTCGTCCTGATCGTCGTTGTCGTCCCGGTCGCAGTGCTCGTCGTGGGTGGAAACATGGCAGAAACACAAAAATGGCAACTGGTTGCGACATGCCTTTTCCCGAGCAATTCAGGCGTTCGCATGTGACTGTGGTCGCGACTTGCTGGTCCCAATGGCATGCTTCTGGTATGGTCTTTCACTGTTCAGGGACCTCCGTTGGCTTAGTGGGGCTTTGTGAGCTTCTGGGTTTTGACGCGAATATACTGTATCACAGTGTGAGACACAATTATCCTCCAGAACGGCCTAAACCATAAAAGCCTGAACCCAAAACCCTGAAACCCTGAAGCCCAAACCCCTAAACCCCTAAAAACCCACACCGTGAACGCTAAACCCTACACCCTAAACCCTAAACCTAAACCCGACCCCCTAAACCCTAAACCCTAAACCTAAACTCGATCCCCCTAAGGCCTGAAGCCCTGAAATCTGCAAACCCACAAAGGCGCCGCAGCGCGAGGTCAGCGAACCTCAGGGCCATCCCGTCCTCCCCAGGGCTGCTCAATAAAGGAATAGTAGTTTTCTTTAACTAGGATACCCAGTGATCTATAGGGCTCCTTAAAGGGGTCTATAAGGGATCTATAGCAGGGTTCTATAATATAGGGGGTTAATATACTAGGATACCCAGTAACCTAAGAATAAAAAGGCCTCTCTTTTTGGTATTGGGTAACTTTATAAGGAACCTAGGACTACAAAAAGGGAATAAGAGTACTACTGGGCATCCTAGTTAAAGTGCATCGGGTTTAGGATAGTGGGTTTAGGGTTTGGGGTCAGATCAGCGATGTTTGGGGTTTAAGGATGTTTAGGGCTTAGGGTTGAGGGTTTAGGGATGTTTAGGGCTTAGGGTTGAAGGTTTAGGGATGTTCGGTTTTTAGCTTAGGAAATCCGAGTACGGGACCGAAGTTCAAGGCAGGCTACGGCAAACGGAACAATGAGCCAACAGAATAACTTTCTCATCAAAGCAACTCACATTAAGTTCAAACCTTAAACCAAAAAACTTCATCTCTCAAACCCTAAACCCCAAACCCTAAATTCACAAACCCTAAACCCTAAACCCCAAACCCTAAATTCACAAACCCTAAACCCTAAACCCCAAACCCTAATCTCTCAAACCCTAAACCCTAAACCCCAAACCCTACTGTAATCTCTCAAACCCAAAACCCTAAACCCCAAAAGCCGCTTTTGGGAGGACATCCCTGGTCCTGCCGGCACGCAGCCCAGACGATGCCTCGATCGCACTTCTGCTCGCTCCGGGCGTGCTGCAACGCAATGCCTCTCGTCCCCGAGAGCCCACTACTTTTTGGAGGTGTAGGGCTTAGGGTTTGGGGTTTAGGGTTTTGGGGTTTAGGGTTTAAGGTTTAGGGGTTTAGGGTTTGGGGTTTGGGGGTTTAGGGTTTAGGGGTTTAGGGTTTAGGGGTTGCTTCAAGGTTTAGATTTCGAAAATTAGGGGTACCTTAGGGTTCCTTTAAAGGGTTACTCTAAGGGTACTCTAAGGGTACTATAAGGGTTCTATAGAGGGTGTAGGGTTTAGGGTTTGGGGGTTTAGGGTTTAGGGGTTTAGGGTTTAGGGGTTTAGGGTTTAGGGTTTGGGGGTTTAGGGTTTAGGGGTTTAGGGTCTAGGGGTTGCTTCAAGGTTTAGATTTCGAAAATTAGGGGTACCTTAGGGTTCCTTTAAAGGGTTACTCTAAGGGTACTCTAAGGGTACTATAAGGGTTCTATAGAGGGTGTAGGGTTTAGGGTTTGGGGGTTTAGGGTTTAGGGGTTTAGGGTTTAGGGGTTTAGGGTTTAGGGTTTGGGGGTTTAGGGTTTAGGGGTTTAGGGTCTAGGGGTTGCTTCAAGGTTTAGATTTCGAAAATTAGGGGTACCTTAGGGTTCCTTTAAAGGGTTACTCTAAGGGTACTCTAAGGGTACTATAAGGGTTCTATAGAGGGTGTAGGGTTTAGGGTTTGGGGGTTTAGGGTTTAGGGGTTTAGGGTTTAGGGGTTTAGGGTCTTCGGTTCTCCAGAGAGCCCAATACCCCTTAATTAAGGCGCGCGCGCCTAAAAAAAACTACCCTGAAGACAAAACCTACAGAGGAGCGGCCGAGGGAAGTGTACAAAAGTGTGGCAGGCGCAGCAAAATCGCACGTTTTGACCTTCCCCAGCGGTATTGTGGCAGAAGCAAAAACGGGACACGATTTCGTGTCCAGTTTTCTGGGCGCCCTAGGCGACCATCAGTGCTATCATCATCGATGTCAACATCGCTATCATCCTCACAGCCACCATCGATATCACCATCATCTTCATCATTCTCATCATCATCGTTATCATCATCGTCATCAATGTGTTGAGCAGTGGGCTTTTTGTGTGCTGGGAAAAGCCGGCCTGAATTTATTCTCCGGACCTGGGCTGCAAAGCTAGTCTTACGGCAGAAGGCGAAAACACTGGTGGGGCCGATGACTTTGAAGGTCGCGGCAAGTTTGTTGAGGTTTGTGGGTGGAAAAGGTATGGGGCAAAAGGTCTTTGCACAGTCACCTTTGCCAGATCGCTAGGTCATCATCATTGCTACCACGATTGTTATCATCATCGTCATCATCATCGTTATCATCATTGCCATCGCCATCGATATCATCGTGACCATCGTAATTTTCATCATCATCGTTGTCTTCCTCGTCGTCAACATTTCGAGCGGTGGTTTTTTTTAGGCGCGCAGCCTTAATTACTTATATAGGGCTTCATATTGTGATTTAAGCTATATTCCGTAATTAAGGGGTATTGGGCTCTCTGGGGGGCTTCTGATAGGGAGTTCACCAAGAATAAGAGACCCTCATATAGCACCCTACATTGTAGGATCCTTCTTATACGGACCCCGAAATCCGGTATCCCTAATTTTCGGAATCTCCCTTATAGGCTTAGGGTTTAAGGTTGAGGGTTTAAGGTTTAGGGTTTGGGGTTTAGGAGCGACGGTATACTACAGGGGCCTTAGCAATTAAGATAGGGTTTTGGGGTAAATATGATATTATACTTATAAGAAGGAACCCCGCAAGATAGTATAGGTAACTGCTAAGACGCCTATATTAAGGTTTAGGGCCCAGGGTGTCGAAGAACTTCCTGATAGGGGTTTTGCAAGGCATTAAAGGGTTGTGGAACAGGTTTGTATGGCGTGCTGGATCTTTTAAGTTTTGGGGAGCCTCATGTAAGTTGCCAGAATCCGGAAATCAATCTTACAAAAGCAACTCGGGAGGATAGCAATTTAAAAAGCTAAACCCTGAGCCCCCAAACCCGAAACCTCGTTTCTTCACCACGCTCTGCCTTTCTGCTTTACGGCCGTCAGCACAATGTCCCGATCCGCAAGAAGCTCTTTTGCAGCGAAGTGCAAGGCGTGACCATCCTTTCGACAGCGAGATTCCTACCCTGAGCCCAGAAGCCCCTAAGCCCCTAAGCCCCCTGAATCCCTAAAGTGAGTCCCAGAACCATGGAGTCATGATCCGAATTCGGGTGTTAAGAACCTCGTTGGGTTTATACTGAAACTGCTATACGGTTGATGATATAAATCCTGCATGACCCATAATAAGGAATACCATAATTCCCATATATTCATGGGTAATGCAGGATTTATATCATCAACCGTAGTACAGTTAAGAAGAACACGAGGCAGACACCGTTCCTAAGAAGAGCCCAGTCCTGTCTTACTGCTGCCAGAACGATGCTGCGGTCCCTCTTGAGATCTTCGGAGGCAAACTCTAAGGCAAGGCCACAGTGGCTGACGGCTGCAAAGACGATGTCGTGATTTCTTCGAAGTTCGCGTTTCGTGTGCTGCAGTGCTTTGCCGTCTGATTGAACAGCCGCCAGCGCATTCGCTTTCTCGCTTTCGGAACGGTTTGCAACACGCCAGATGCTGTGATCATTGTGAAGCTTCTTGGCGGCGAAGAGCAAAGCATTGCCGTTTTGGGTGACTGCAGCTAAGACAATACTGCGATCCTCCTTCAGCCTAGTTCATGGTTGGGATAGGATTAAACATATGCATCTTTATTTCTTGTTGGGTTTAAGTACTCATGAAAATTCTACTGTTACCCTAAACCCTAAACCCTGAGCCCTAAACCCTAAACCCTAACCCCTAAACCCTAAAATTTATAATGTTATTCAACCATCACAGAGTAGCTTCTCGGCGGCGAAGCGCAGGGCAGGGCCCCTTTCCTGCACCGCTGCTAAGACGATCTCGCGATCCTTCTTGAGCTTCGGGGCGGCGAATTCCTTGGCTTTTCAATATCCAGGCAAAAAAAAGTACAAACTTTTATTTCATAATGGTTCCTGTAAGAAAAAGTTTCAAAGTATGGTACATCAAAGCCCAGATTCTAAGGCATCACCATTCTGTTTTACAGCCGCCAAGACGATGTGACGATCACCCTTCAGCTTCTTGGGCGCATGCTTCAGGTACCTGGGTTCTTCTAGAATCGATCCCTTAAAGGACCCCCTATAGATCCCTATAGATCCCTTAAAGGACCCTAGAAGTACGTATTTTGAGTTGCCATGACAAGGAAGCATATCCATCTTTTGAAGTCCCCCAAAAATGACCGCACCCCTGTAATAAGGACCCAGAGAGGAAGGGACCCTGATTCAGACAACTACTCATATGGGAGTTTCCGAAAATAGGGGACCCAAATATAGTACCCTAAATAGTAGGATCCTTATTATAAGGACCCCAAAACAAGGTACCCCTATTTTCGGAAACTCCCATATGGTGACTTAGAAGAAGTGTCTCAACTATAGAGCCTAGGCACTCACCCCTTTTCTGGACCGCCGCCAGGACGACTTCGCGATGAGTCTTCAACTCCTGGAGGTGAGCGGGGGGCGTTAGGTTTGGGGCTTCTGGGCTTAGGGGCTTAGGGTTTAGGGTTTAGGCTTTAGGGTCTGAGGTTTTAGGTTTAGGGTTTGGGGTTTTAGGTTGAGAGTTTAGGGCTTAGGGCTTAGGGTTTAGGGCTTGGTTTGGGGTTCAAGGTTTAGGGTTAGAGCTTTTGGGCTTAGGGTTTAGGGCTGCGAACCCCGCCATTGTTCTGCACCTGAAACCCGCCGAATGATCTCCAAACAGGGAGCGGCTGCAAACGCTCCGCAACAGACCTAGGAACCCTTATAGATCCCTTAAAGGAACCCTTATGTCCCCTTAAAGGATCCTTTAAAGGATCCCTTAAAGGAGCCCTTAAAGGATCCCTTAAAGAAACCCTTAAAGGATCCCTTATAGTAAACCCCATAAAGTTGGAAACCGGATTAAGGGCCGAGTAGTGCTGGGATTCCCTATACATTAAGGGATCCTTTAAGGGTTTCTTTAAGGGATCCTTTAAGGGCTCCTTTAAGGGATCCTTTAAAGGGTCCTTTAAGGGGACATACGGGTTCCTTTAAGGATTGAGGCTATGGGGTTTCCAACTTTTGGGCTTCTACTCTAGAAGAAGCGTGACACAAACGCTCTGAAAGAATTGAACTACCTCCCCCCCTCAACTGTTGCATTTCGGGACGTGGTCAGCTTGAAGAGCTCCACTAAGAACCTAAAGCTAGATGTTTTTTTACAGGCTAGGTAGCGGGGCTAGGTCACCGATAAGCCTCCACAAGAGCAATCAAGTCCTCAGTGATCCTGAATAAACCCTACGCCGTACACCCTACACCCTCTGCCCTAATCAAGATTGGCCCTAAACCCTAAACCCCAATAGACCCTAATTTCAAAACCGCAAACTGCTCTAAGGTCCCGACCCATGCTTCGGAAGGACAACTTCCCAAAGCGTCGATACCTTTTTCGCTCATCTCCGCGAGTAGCTTGCTGAGATCCTCGCAATCCTCCTGCTTGGGGCAAACAGACGGGCTTCGGCACTATGTGGTGTGGGGTTTAGGGTTTGGGGAAGGTGGAGGGTTTAGGGTTTAGGCTTCAGGACTAATGTTGACTTCACATGTATAATCCCCCCCGTCAATTATAAAACCCCACCCCCGGAACTCAATTATAAACCCCCCCCTCAATTACGAAACCCCCGGCCGGGAACCCAAAAAAAAAATTACCTACCTCCTGTGCCTTTAGAGGCCAGGAAAAGGACCGCAAGCTTTAGAAACTAGGATCCTTATTAAAAGGTCCCCAAAATAAGGTACCCCATTTTCCCTGAAATTCCCATGTGGCTTAGGGTTTTAGGGTTTGGGGGCTACGTGCTTTGAAGATTTGGGGCAGGGGATTCGATTTTGGCTCGGGCTCGAGGCTTTCCCCCGCAGACCCGAACCTTTAAACCCAACAATCTAGGGCTTAGGTTAGTGTTGGGATAACGCCATCTAGGGTACTGATAACTCCTAACCCACTTATAACCTACTTACTAAGTTCCTGGGCCTCTAAGTAGGGTTTAGGGCCTGTTCCAGCTTTCGAGGCTTGATTCAAGCTCTCGGGTCGAGTGGTCTGAGCCGCGAATTGCTTCTGCACCAATAGTTGGAATAGGGCTCCTGTTAAAGCGTTCCAAAAGGACTACTATAAGGGTTGCTGGAAGTGTACAACATGGGCCGTTCATAGTTATGGTAGGGCTTTGGGAGATAGTATGTACTTATACAGGGACTGCGGCGGGATAGTGTGACCAAACAGTCAGGCCCGATCATGTGTGGGTGACAGCGTGTGGAACGTCGTGAGGGATCCAGACGGCAAACAGGCTTCTGAGGCCCTACGCTGCAGCCCTTATGCAGCTCGTTGTGGCCTGTGTGGCTCGCCCCATCATCACCACTTCATCATCTGAGACAGGTTCCTCCACCTTCGCGACAGAAGCTTGTGTATAAGGGTTTCGGGTGTCTCAAGTGACAGAAGCTTGATGGTAGAGATTTTGGCCAGTAGTGCATGGGATTTTTCTTAGTACCTAGGCTGACTAACACCCGAACCCCTAAACCCCTAAACCCCAAAGCCTGAACCCTAAACTCTAAACCCTGAACCCTAAACTCGAAACCCTGAACCCTAAACTCGAAACCCCGAATCCTAAACTCGAAGCCCTGAACATAAACCCGAAACGCTCAATGCTGCTTACGAAGCCCCCTTTGATCCTCCAAGGAGCCCTTTCGGCTCTCCTACCCTCGACTATAAGAACTCCTACACCCGAGACCCTAAGCATCCTCATGCTGATGATATATTAGGGGTACCTAATTTCAGGAACCTTCTGATAAGGATCCTACTATTTAGAGTACTATATTAGGGTCTCCTATTTTCGGAGTAAATCCTGCACCATCCATAATAACGAATACACATAACTCCCATGGTCTAGGGTCATTAGGGTAATGCAGGGTCTATATCAGCAACCGTAAGACTTCTTCTGGGTCGAGGCCGTCCCTAAGCGCACAAGGACTGCCATCATCAATGAGCATTGCTGTTTGTGACGGCTGGCCATGCAGGAGGCACACCGGGAGTATATGGGGAGTGAAGGACAAAGGCTTGTCATTGCGATCGTAGCTGCTACACTTGCTTGTTGAATGCGCTCGGTAAAGAGAGTCGGTTTGGAGGCCTCAGACGCGGGGGGGGGCTAGTCGCCACAAGACGATGCAGATGGGTAGTTCTGTAAAATCAGAGTCCCTATTCGGAACCCAGAAGGAGGTGGCCCCCTTACAAAAAGACCCCTACAAAGGACCCCAGTTCAGAGAACTCATATAAGGGCCTTAATAATTAGAATGGGGTGTTGGAGCCATTGCACTATAATCATAATAAGGAACCCCCAAAACATGGTATATATTGACATTTATTAAGGCCCCTGTGGTACCCACATGAACCCGAAGCCGAAGCAACACACATGCACTCGAAGAGACTGCGTCGCACGACTCGACGGCAAACCCCAAAAAACCTCTTTCCCAACCTGGATCCCAAAGAACCTACTTTTTTAAGGACCTTTTATAAGGAAATCATAATAAGGAACCCTAAAAGGAAGGTTCTAGAGGGTCCTCAAGGGCCCCTCTAACACGGGGGGCTCAAAAGCGGGGCTCTAACGGGGGGCTTTAAGGGGGCTTATACCTTCTTGTGTCAGAACAAACACACATCGAACACTGTTCTGTAATAACGCTGATGCAAGCCTCAAGCCTCCGTACCCGACCCTACAAGTTCGAATAAAGGGTCATTCAAACAGTTAGAAGAGGGCTTTGGTGATATACTCTAGTAATAAAGAAACGATAAGGGGATAAAGTCACTAATTCTTCCGACCCCTTTTGCCCACCGACCCTTCCCACGGCGAACCCCCTTTGAAAGCCCCTGAAGGACCCCCCGTTAAAGGACCGGATGGCTCTAGAACCCGGGACTCCGAACATCGGGGGCAGCCTCCTGAATGGACACCGCCGCCACTTTCTGTCTCCTCTGCCTCATGTCCTTTCGGGTCTCAGGAACCCTAAACCCTCAACTCCTAAGCCCTAAAAGCTAAACCCTAAACCCCTAAACCCGTAAACCCTAAATCCCTAAACCCTGAAAGCTACACCCCAACCCATAAACCCTTAACCCCCAAACCTTGAAACCTAAACCTTTGAATCTTCGTGTTTCAAGCCCTTTGTGTTCCTTCAGTTTTCGGGTTCAGGGCTTCAGGGCTTCCGGTTTGGCGTTTGGGTTTAGGGCTTGGAGTTTAGGGTTTAGGTTTTGGGTTTCGGGTTTGGGGTTGAGAGGCATACTTGGGTTGTAAAGGGCTGATCAGTCTGCGTGTCTGTGGTTTAAGATCCAGTTGGAGGCAAAAGAGACTTGTGCACCTATAGCCCATGACTCAATAAACTTAAAAACTACTTGCTACATGTTTTGGTTTTGGGATGAATAATGAAGGTGCTCCGCGCGGTAAACGAGGCTTCGTAGGGATCTTATCAGGACCTTTCAACAGCTTCGTGAGGCTTCGAACGCTGAAGACTGAATAATCAATAACATTACAACTTAGGGCTTGCCCTCAAAAAACCTCGTCGAATTGTTAACGCCCCGATCGCGCCTGGCTTCAAAGGCTTGACGCTTAGTACCCGGGCTTTTGTGAACCCTGAACCTCAAGCAACGGTACCCCTTGCAGGAGCCCTGAAATGAAGCCTTTAACGCAACCCTCAAGGTTCTTATAATTAAGCCTCTACCCTAAATCTTAAGAATCATTGCTCTGGGCAGGTTGCTTTGAGATTTTGTCGGCGTTGGTGATGCACACATGGGTGTGACGGTGCGAAACCGCTAAACTGTGAAATACAAGGAGTTCTCTATGGCTACCATATATACATGTAAATATCTGAAAAGACAGCGGGAAAGAGACAGAGAGAGTGAGTGAGTTTATATAGGTGTCTATATGCATGTGTATATATATATATATATATACACGTATTTGTATATATACATATATGCTCTACATGTATACGTATGTGTGTCTCTGTCTCTCTCTGTCTCCCTCTGTCTTTATCTTTCTCTTGCTCTCTTTCCCACTTGTAATTCGTAAGAAACCCCAGAGACGAGCCAGAAAAGTGTGCTAGGAAGCATTCAACCCAAACCACAACTCCAAATTGTGTCGACAATCCAAACTCCAAGCCCCCTTGCGCAAAGCTCCACCCGAACTCGCGAACCCTGAGGCAAGAGCCTGAAAGCCCGAAAACCAAGACGTAAGCCCCGCATTCCAAAACTTGAGCCTTAAATCTGCATCGTGGTTCAAGCAACCGGAACCATCCTTCCAGCCAGCAAGTCGGGTGATCCCCGTTTGGGCTGGAATCCCCAAACTGCAAAACAACCCTGAAGCCCATGCCACTGAACCCTAAACTTCAAAGCACTAAACTTTTAAACCTCCAAACCGCGGAAGCCAACAGCAAAACATGCTCACCCTAAACCCTAAACCCTAAACGCAAAGTAGCAAAGCAACGGCATCTAAAGAACAACGATCCGGTCCCGTCCTCTCCCCTGGCCTCTGCTTCTCTCATGGCCTCGAAGGACACGGTTTAGGCTTTACGGCTTCGGGTTTTAGCGGTTTAGGATTTAGGGGTTGAGGGTTCAGGGGTTTAAGGGTGTAGGGGATCACGGTTTCGGGGTTTATTTCGGGGTTTATGGGCTAAGGGTTTAAGGTTTAGGGTTTGGGCTTTAGGGTTTGGGGTTGAGGGATGGTTCAGGGTTTAGTATGGTTCAATAGATCTATGGACTTCACTTAAATGCCCCATTAAGCTTGACAGGATCAGATCTCACAGATGTGCGAACTACAGCTTTCCTAAACCCTGCGCCCTTAATGAATTGCAAAGCCTAAACCGTGACGCTGGGAAGCTGTCTCCATCCCAGAGACTCCAACATCCCTTAATTGAGGAATATACCTTAGATTATAGTAGGATCCCAAAGATGATTTAAGGTATACTCCTTGATTCAGGGATATTGGAGTCTCTGGGATGCACTGGATGTCCTCATGGCCACTGTCAAGTAGCAACCCGCACGCGACAAACGCCATAGAGCCGAGTATGAGAACCATATACGGCGTTGAACATCGGCTTCTATGGGAGGTGTTATGCATGTAACTCAGGCTCTGCGGAGTGTGCTAGGGCTATCACGCTTTATACGGCCTTCGGGTTTGAACATATCCTAAGCCCCACGCAAGCTCTGCAAAGCTGACCTTTGAACCCGAGCCTGTGGGCTTCTTAGGGTTCAGGCCGCAGGGCTTCGTGGAAGTAGGCTTCTCAGAAGGCCAACTATCTTATCATCCCCACACTTTTTCTCTTTGCTAGGCCCCCCATCCAAGCAGTCCTAAACCCTAAACCCTAAATCCTGAACCCTAAACCCTAAATCCTGAACCCTAAACCCTAAACCCTTAATCCTAAACCCTGAACCCGAAACCCCAAAGCCTGAACCAAAAAAAAGAAAACAACCTCGCGCGAAACCCGGAACCCAACCGGCAGGCCTTTGCATGTTCCGTCCTCCTCCGCCTGAAGGCCTGGAGCGATCCCTCTTGGGATTCTGGGTTTAGGGTTTAGGGGAGCGATCCCTCTTGGGATTTTGGGGCTTCAGGCTTCGGGGTTTACTTGGGGGGTCATGGGACTTAGTAAGTAAGGTTATAAGTACTTTAATTGGGGTTATGAGTAGTTATAAGTAGAGTTACCCTAATTATAGCTCTAGTTAAGTCCCATGATCCTTTAAGTAGGGGCTTTTTGGGTTTGGGCTTTTGGGGTGGGCATATGGGCTGTTAAGAAGCCACTTTCGGCTTTGGGAATATGGGGCTTCAGGCTTAGGGGCTTTTGGCCTTGGGCTTTTTGTGGTGTTGGGGCTTTTGTGGCTTTTAGGGCTTGAGCTTCAAATCTTCGCGTTTTGAACGGTTTCGAGCTTAGGGTTGAGGGTTTCGGGTGTCGTAGCGCCTTGGTAGCCGTTCGCCCAGTGTCATTTTGGACATATGGGCTGTTAAGAATGGCCACTTTGCGCCGATATCCCTCAAACAAATCCAAAACCTTAACCCGTCAAGCCCGAGTGACCTCAAGATTCATGTTTCGTTCAAAAAGCAAAGAAACACCAACCCCTGAAACCTTGAAAATAAACTCAAACCGCTTCAAACACAACACACCTACAACCCCACCCTCCAACATGAAAAAAGAAAAAAAAACGCAAGCGCCACAACACGTTGGCTTAAAGCTAAAACCTGCCTTGCGGGTTCTACACGGGTTCGAAGGGCATCTAAAGGAGTCTTATATGGCTCTATGAGGTTCTGTAAGGCTTCAGGGTTTGGGGGGGCTTCGGGTGCGGAAGCTAAAATGCCTGCAGCGTCCCGAAGACTTGTCGAGCAGGCTTGTCAACACCCGGCGTAATTTTCTCCATCAAGCTGAAGGAACCATTCAGATTTGAACTCCTCAAACAACCGGAAACAGTTTTGGACCTTTTAAGACCCCATAAGCCTAATTAGTGGACACTATGGCTATCAACCCCATACAACAAATTTAGAGAGCCTGATCAAGCCTCGCGTCTCGCCTCGCAAAGCGTTGCGGGAACTGAGGCTCCTGAACCCCCCAAAAAAACCACAAGCCGTACCCCAACATCGTTTGGGGCTCAGGGCTTTTTTAAAGGTTTCGGGTTTAAGGCTCGTTTTAGGGTCTTGTGTTTTGGGCCTGCTTTTAGGGTTGGGGCTTAGGGCTCTGCAACCCCAAGACCTTCCGTGCAGAGAAACCCTCAGAACTAAAAGAACCTATATAAAAAAAGATGGTATCGACCGGCTACAGAGCCTAAACCCTAAACCCTAAACCCCTAAACCTAAACCCCTAAACAAGGCCCTAAACCCCAAAACCCTACGGAAGACGACCCACCCGGAAGTCTTCTCGGCGGCCTCCGTGTGCTCCCAATCAGCTTCTCGGGGGCGCTCCAAAGGCACCTTTGAACAAGGATTTGTGATTTTTTTTAAAAAAAAGGATTTATGGGTTAGGATTTATGGTTTAGGGTTTAGGGTTGAGGATTTATGGTTTCGGGTTTAGGGTTAAGGATTTATGGTTCAGGGTTTAGGGTTAAGGATTTATGGTTTATGGTTAAGGATTCATGGTTTAGGGTTTAGGGTTAAGGATTTATGGTTTAGGGTTTAGGGTTAAGGATTTATGGTTTAGGGTTTAGGGTTAAGGATTCATGGTTTAGGGTTTAGGGTTAAGGATTTATGGTTTAGGGTTTAGGGTTAAGGATTTATGGTTTAGGGTTTAGGGTTTTCGGGCTTAGGATGGTTGAGGATTCATGGTTTAGGGTTAGGGGTTTGGGGTTTAGGATGGCTAAGGATCAATGGTTTAGGGATTAGGGCTCAGTAAAAGGTGGGGCTTGGGGCAGGATGCAGGATGACTGGTTCGGTTTAAGTTTCAGGGATGTGGCGGCTTAATTTAAGGGGCCTTTATACATAGGTTCAACGATTCAGAGATCTGAACCTTTTTGGGTCCAGACTTCCGGCAGGATCTAGAAAATAGATCCCCTACTTTGGGGCCCTATACTACTAAGGGTACTTTATAGGAGGTTTGTTTGAGGGATCTACTTTTTGGATCCTCCCGGGGGTCCGGGTAGGGGTTTAGATTATTTTGTCGCAAGTCCGAGGACCAGCCTTTTGCTCCAAAGCAAAGAGGACCTCATCATCTTTGAAGGGTAATCTGGGCCCCTTAAGAGTTACCTACACTGTTTTGGGGGGTTCCTAATTATAATTCTAGCATAATGGGCCCCAAAACCCTATTCTAATTATTAAGGCCCCTATATGATTGAAACTCCCTGGTTCTTAGTAGGGAATGGAAGGATGGGGTATAGGGACTACCAGAAGTTCAGAAGGAGACCTTATAAGGGACTACCGTACAGATCCATTACCACATTCCCGACTGTTTCCTTTTATGCGCTCGCACTCTGGGATATAAGGCAACCTGGTGCAGGGGTGTGGGGAGTTTCGGTCGTTGGGGCTTTGTGAGGCTGACGGCTCTTATCATGTGCAATTTATGCATTCGGATTTTGGGGGCTTGATGTGGGCTTTTGGTATGCCCCCTAAGCCGCTGCGACATGCAACGGCCCTAGTAAGGCATGGGGGAATGGATCCCCATAGTAGTCCCTACCCAGACCCCCGGGAGGATCCAAAAAGTAGATCCCTCAATGGGGGTTCCTATAAAGTACCCTTAGTAGTATAGGGCGCCAAAGTAGGGGATCTATTTTCTAGATCCTCCGGGGGTCTGGGTATATCATCCCCAATAATAACTAAGAACCAGACTGTTATGATCAGGGTCGCTGCAATGCTCGTCTATGGTGATACGGTTGGCGATATAAATCCTGCATTAAGGGACCCTAAGCTATGGGAACAATGGTATATTCCCTATTATGGGTAATGTCGCAGGGTGGGGGGGGTCCTTCGGTTGATGGTAGACATCCTGCATTACCCATAATAGGGAACATACCATAATTCCCATAGTTTCGGGTCATTAAGGTAATGCAGGATTTATATCATCAACCGTACTGTAGTGACAGTGATGATGGCGAGAGTGATGGTGATAAGGCTTTCGGGGCTAGGCTGCAAGGCTTAGGAGGATGACAGTGAAGATGACAGAGAAGCTGGGGAAGCTGCAAAGACAGGTGCATTCTACTATAATTACAATAAGGAGCTCGCAAAATAGTATAGGCATTATACCAAAATTACAATAAGGAGCCCGCAAAATAGTATGGGTAGTTATTAAGACCCCTAAAGTAATGAGAAAGCCCTGACCGTTCCAAAGGCTGGCTTCTGCTGGTTGCTCCCAAGATCGTTGTACGTCTGGCTCCCGGTGAGGTTTAGGGTTCTGGGGTTTAGTGTCTAGGGTTTCAAGTCTTGGGTGTAGGGTTCTTAGACTGCTTTGAAACATTGGCAACCCCCAACCACAAGAAGTGAATAGGATCTCTCTAACATTGCCCCTGATATCCTTATAACATCCCTAAAACCTGACCCAAATAGGAAAAATAAAGAATCAGCTCCCATCAGAATTCCTCGAAGATTCCATGAACTGCCCATCGCAAACCCCTAATCCCCAAGCCCCAAAGCCCCTGCAGAACCCCTAAACCCCTAAACCCTAAACCCCTAAACCCTAAACCCCTAAACCCTAAACTCCCCAAACCCTAAACTCCCTAAACCCTCAACCCCCAAACCCTTGTTCAGACCTGCTCTGGCAAGTCGGAGGCCATGGTCTGGATCTTGACATCCTTCTTTCTGAAACCCTGAACCCCAATACGGCTTAGGGTTTAGGGTAGGGGTTTAGGGTTTAGGGTTTAGTGTGTAGGGTGCAGGGTTTAAGTTTAGGCATGTTTAGGGTGTAGGGAGTAGGAGGTTTTCCAAACTTTTTTGATTTTGAGGCAATGCGAAGGGTTCAAGTACCCAACTGCGACGACTTCGGGTGCCAAAAGGCAGTCTGAATATAGTGGTGGGTACTTGGAACCTTTGGGTAGGGTGTTCGAGCTGCTTGCCGTGCTTAAAAACGGTTCACAAAAAGCTTCTGCACGGGTTCCCGCCGTGTGTTGAACAAACTAATTCTTATGGTTTTGTGACTTAGAAGCACCCTTAAACCCTAAACCCCCAAACAACAAACCCTAAACCTGATTGAAGCATCTGATGCCTGATGCTTGTTAACGTCCTTACTGTGGGTTTGGTGGGGCTCCAAGAGTTTCTAAATAAGACTTTCCTGTCCGGCTGGGGAGGAGACGAGAGTCTAGAGATTAACCTTTGGGGAAATATGGGGATTATGGCACCTCAAGAGGTTCCGGGATGCTGTCTCTGCCATTGAGGAGAAGCCCTAAAAGAAACCGAACAACGCAACACGCCCCGAAAGTCCGAAACCCACAATCAAATTCCTACCGCATGGCCTACTTGGACCGTTGCGTCCTAACTCCTGACGAATGACCTTCATAGTGCCCCTTGCAGGACCCCTTCATAGCACCCCTTGCAGCTACAATACCCTTGTAGTGCCCTTACAATGCCCCTACAGTACCCCTCTTTGTAGCCCTTTCAGTACCCCTTCTAGGACCCCTTGCAATACCCAATACCCTTACCTTATAGTACCCCTTTCCAGTACCCGCCCTTTTCGTAGTACAACTTATAGTACAAATACTTACACCCCTGCTAGCACCCCGAAACAAAGAACCCGAAATAGTGCCGCTTCGAAAAACCAATACAATCCTGAACCCAAAACACTAAATCTTGAACCCCAAACCCAGTGGCCCTTATGAAAAGCCCCGGTTCTCTCCTGCATCGTCTGGATCCCGGCCTCCTGAACGGTCTGGATGTCAGCATCCTCCAGTTCGAACTTTCAGGGGTGCTTTAAGCCTTTACCACCCAGGGTGTTGAAAAATAAGGGGGCTCCCGTTAAGGGTACTATGGGGTTCTATGTTTGAAGCTTAGAAAGTCAGAGCAGGGGTTCTGGGAATTTCAGGGCCCAGAGGTCAGCCTTCAGGGCTTAAACCCCTACGTCTGGAGGCCCGGGGCTCAACGCTGCGTCTCTGAGCAACCTACTTGGAGGTTCATGGGTAGTTATAAGTAGGGCTATAAGTAGGGTAACTATACTTATAACCCGTATTAAAGGACCTATAGCCCTACTTATCACTACCTCTGAACCTCCAAGTACACCTTAAACTCGAATCGCGCAACAAGGGATCCAGCATGTCCTATAGAAGAGAAGAAGCAACGACCCAAGCCCTAAACTTCCCTCGAAGCCTGAAATGGCCTGAAACCCTCCAAGCCTCAGCCCTGAAAACCCTGAGGCTCTGAGACCGTAGAACCCCTCAGCCCCCATAAACCGTTCTCGTGCGAAATCCTGCTGCGTGCTCCAACGCGGGATGGTCGGAAATCCGAGGATCGCAGCGAGTGCGGCCTGTGCAGCGCATGGTGTAGCGAGAGATGCGTCAGTCGTTCCATCATTCAAAGAGTTTTACGTTTTCAGGTGGCTTTACAGGGCCCCTACCAAAGCTTCTGTAGTACAGTAAGGAGACATGCTTTTTTTTCATTACAGTCCTTGGAGGGCTTGGGTCCCGAGAGGGCTTTACAGAGTCTCAAGAAGGATTTGTATGGCCGCAGCAGCGTTTTCAGAAGACTGTTTACTGATGTTGACAGGCTTTATAGGCTTTTCTATTGGCTTTGCATGGTTTGACGAAATTTTGTGAGGCTGCAGGGTCTATGGTCGTAGATGTGATGTGGTTTGGGGGGCGTGGGGGGCTTTTGTCACTAAGCTTCCCAGTGCTAAGTCCCAAGCCTCAGAACCTGGTGCCCTAACGTTTCAATTCGAAGCCCCGGGCCCTGAGCCCTACTTCATACTTCGAAGTAACCTAAACCCCAAACCCTAAACCCGCAAACCCTCAACCCTAGACCCCTAAACCCTAAACCCGCCCTAAGCCCTACTTCATACTTCGAAGTCTGTTGCAAACCCAAACAAGCTGAGCCAGGCGATCGGAACTCTCCAGAGAGCCCAATACCACGAATTAAGAAATACGGCTTGAAATTTATCGGGCTTCATATTATGATTTGAGCTATATTCCTTAATTTCTGCAAAACCGCCTTGAAAGACTGTACGAGACCCCTTGCGAACGGGAAAGGGTTTGGGGTTTAGGGTTTTAGGGCTTAGGGTTTAGGAGTTTAAGGTTTAGGGTACTGAAAACCCTTCAGAATCGTGAAAGAAACCTGGGATCCACCAAGAACCCTTGCAGGTCTTTGCCAAAGCAAAGCGGTCAAGCAAAACAAAAACCTTAAACCCCACAACCCTAAATCCTAATCTAGCCCGAGGTCCTGTCAACTTCAAACCCTGTCTGAAAGCCTAAACCCCAAAAGCTCTTGTAGCTATCCTTATAGTAGCCCTTGTGGGTTCCGGGTTTAGAGTTTGTCGTAGCTTGAAGCTTAAAGCCTCCACGCTGCACAAAAAAAAACCGTAGCCAAGCCCTATTCCCCTATGAACCTTCTGTAAGCCCTAAAACGCCAAAACCCAAACCCAATCCCTAAAGCCTAAGCCTAAACCCATAGACCCTTAAATCCTAAACCCTGAACCCTAAATCATAGACCCTTAAATCCTAAACCCTGAACCCTAAATCATAGACCCTTAAATCCTAAACCCTAAACCCTAAATCATAGACCCTTAAATCCATCTACCACTATGGGCTATTAGACCCTAAAGATCCCTATTAGGACCCTATTAAGGGTAGATTAAGGTACCCATAAGGTCTAATAGCCCATAGTGGTATGAAGCCCCGGGCACCCGGCCTGAGACTGGGCACGGCGGAGGGGCCCGACGATGGGCCCGGCAAGGCTGCCGGGCGGAGTGCCCTTTTTAGTTGGGGAGGTTTAGGGTTTTAGGGTTTAGGGTTTAGGGTTTAAGGTTTGGGATTTAGGCTTTAAGGTTTTTCTTTTTCGGGCCACGGTTTAGGGTTTAGGGTTTACGGGCTAGGCTTTAGGGTTTGGGGTTTAGGCTTTAGGGTTTCAGGTCTAGGGTTCAGGGTTCAGGGTTTAGTCTTTTCCTGTTTACATTTGAAGCTTTCAGCAGCATCGGTATATTCTTGTATGATGTCATGGGTCCTTTGTTGGCATTGCTTAATGCTTTCTAGGGTTTACAGGGGGCATTCAGTGTGTAGAGTGTGCAATTGTCAGGAAACCCTAAACCCTCAAGCCGAAGCCCTGAACCCAAAACCACAAACCGTTCTGGGGGTCTTTGAAGCTTAGAGCCTGGGCTTGGGATTTGTACTGTTGATGATATAAATCCTGCATACCCATAATAAGGAATGTACCATAATTCCCATAGCTTAGGCTTAAGATAATGCGGGATTTATATCATCAGCCGTAGGAGATCGCCGGGCTCCAGAGCTTTGAGTTGAGGGTCTGCGGCCAAGCAGGGGCCGACGAACTCAAAGAAAAGTTTGGGAGCACGTACTTAGGGGCCCAGGGGACTTAGTAAGTCGGTTATAAGTAGGGTTATAATTGGGGTAACTCTATTTAGGGTACTTATAACCCTACTTATAACCTACTTACTAAGTCCCCTGGGCCTCTAAGTGTAGTACAAGCATATAAGAAGCAAGAGAATGAGGGGAGAGTTACTACTGATTCTTGAGGTCTCCATACTCCACTTCTGAGTATATCATCTCTTACCCTATGATCTAGTACGTTAATATGCTTAGGGAATTCTCCTGCAGGTTTATAGCTATGTTCCAATGGTATCCTTATAGTGCCAAAATTTCCTTATAAATCCTACATCTAATCTCCTTTCATTACAATGTGAGAAGAGAAATGAAGGAAGTGGTGTGTTTAATTTCAATGAGAGAAAGGATGAACGAACGCAAGCGAGAAGTAAACACAAGGAAAACAAAAGGGCCCAAAAGACCAAAATAAAACAGGACGAACGAGCTTCACTGATTTCATAAAGTTCATTGTTTCGTTCATGGTGTTTGAATCTTCTGGGTTTTCTTGCATATAAATCCAACCTTGCAACATTCCCAAAAAGCCAAATTAACTAAATCAAAACAATGTGACGAATGAAAGAAGTGAAAGCGTGTTTAATTAACATAGTTTGGGATCTTTGCTCTACATCTTCAAATCTTGGAATGCTTCTATTTTTCAGTTATATCTTTATGCTACAGGAATCTTCTTATGAGGAGTTATCATGTGTCCTTTAGTTGTACATCCTAGAAGCTGTTGGCCTTTGTTCCGTTCATGTGTTGTGATAAAGGAGTAGGCACGGCTTGGATGGGCTTCATTGGGGCTTCAGGGCTTGAGGGCTCTTGAGATTGGGGCTTTCAAGGTCTTGGGGTTCATCCTTGTTCTTACGCCACGCTGGGGTCTTTAAGTTTCAAGGCGGTGCAGAATTCGAGGGTTTCGGTGCTAAAGTCGCGGACTTCAGGGTTCAGGAGTTTACAATCTAGGGCCATGGGCCAATGGGCTTGGAAGACCCCACAGATCATATCGCCTTCAGCAAGGACTCAAGGAACGTCTGCCCGTAGGAAGGCGTCGCCAGAGTGTCCACGGGAGTCTGCGTGGCCATATGGTGCTGCGGTTGATGATATGAACCCTGCATTACGCATAATAAGGAATATACCCTAATTCTCATAATTTAGGGTCATTAAGGTAATGCGGGATTTAGATCATCAACCGTAGTTCTCGTTCGACACAGGATGATCAACCCCATCCCCCCCAACCTAGAACTCCAGACCCGACTTCGTTGACCCTAAACGCCCAAGACCCCAGACCCAGCGGTACTTGCTGGTATTCCGTGATGCTTTCGACTTTCGAGTTTCGGGCTTTAGGGCCATCACTGGGCTGGAGGAGGGTGCCAAGAAATCTGTGTGCTCAGGGAATGTAGGGTTGAAGAATTGAGGCTTTGGGATCGTGCCTGTCTTTACCCAAACAGACCCCAAAACCAAATGACTCGCGCTTATACCTTGATTCATAAAGCGATCCTGTTTCTGAGTTGAAACAAACCAGAAGCAGTGGCTCTCTGGGGACAAGCCCTTTGCCTCCACGAACTCTGTGGCAAAAAACACCTCAATTATCCCCCCCTCCATTGTCGCAACATCATAGCCATTGCTAGTCAAGAGAACCATCTGACGCGCTAAACTTGGGTCACTGCCTTCACCGTAACAATCCAGACTTGACGAAAATACAGGGCCTCGAAGATACCCAAAACCCTAAAGCCCGAAACCCGAAACCCCAAAACCCTAAACCCTAAACCCTAAAGCCCGAAGCCCGAAACCCCAAAACCCTAAACCCCCAATCTCTAAACCCGGCGACCCTAACCCCGGTGCCAAAAAACGAATGCGAATAAACCACAAAGCCACCCCCGCACATCGAACATTTCCACAGCACGAAAGAAGCCTCCAACTCGGAGATACTCGGAGTGCGGGGTTGGGGGTTTGGGTTTCAGGGCTTTTCGGTTTTTAGGTTTAAGGCTTAAGGTTTTAAGGTTCGGGGCTTTCAGGCTTATGGGTTTCAGGGCGTAGATTTAAAGATTTAGGGTGTTTCGGTTTTGGGGTTGGGGGATCAGGATTTCAACCCGGTCCCTCTCAGCCATGCCTGCAGCAAAGCCTCCAGCAAGACTCGCCCATTGGGGGTCGCCAGCACGTCCACAGGAGTCTGCAGACATGGGCACTGAACCCTAAACCCTCCCATCAGCCCCGACTGAAGCTCTGCACCCTAACCAAAACATCCAGCCCTCACTGGAAAGATCTAGGAAACCCTAAACCCTAAACCCTAATTGATAATGTGAACCCTCGAGCTGACCCAGAGTTGTGTTGCGCTTTTAATGCTTCGCTCTCTCCTGACACACAACACTTGGAGGCCCAGGGGACTTAGTAAGTAGTAAGGTTCCTGAAAGGGCTCCTTAAAAGGGATCTATAAGGGTGGTTCTATAAGAGGGATTAGGGTGTATTTAGAGGCCCAGGGGACTTAGTAAGTAGGTTATAAGTAGGGTGATAAGTACCCTAAATGGAGCTACCCCAAGTATAACCCTACTTAGAACCGGACCTACTTACTAAGTCCCCTGGGCCGCCAAGATCAATCAAGCATGCATAACCCGCATTCTAGCCACAAGTCGGTGGTGTCGACGGGACTTCCGCTTTAGAGTTCTGAGGTCTCGAGCTAAAAGCTGAGAGGACGAGGGGGGTATGTCCTGGGCATGGGATTGTCAAAGGGGAAAAGGAGGGACCCTTAATAAGGACCCCTAGGCATCTACCCTTAATATAGCCATTATATACCCACTATATAGCCCAATATATATCCTAAACCCTAAACCCTCAATATAGCCCCTTAGAGTAGTCCTTATAGACCCCTTTAAAGGAACCCTCTTCCCTATGGGTAGGGGTCCCCATTAAGGGTCCCTCCTTTTCCCCTTTGAGATTGGGAAGAAGTTCAAGGCTGTCCTCGTATCCAGAACCGGATTTTGCGGGGAGGCTTATGCTAACTTTAGGGTTAGGGTTTAGGGTTTAGGGCTTAGGGTTTAGGGTTTAGGGTTTAGGGTTTAGGGAATGCTAACTATATCAGGAGCCCCAAGAAATACTCTTGATGCCCTAATTAAAATCTGGCGATGACCACATTCCCCGCGACCCCTTAACTTAAAGTTTACATCCTCATGGGGGGCATACAGGATGTGCCCCAAAATCACGTACTGTACTATTACTTGGACCCTTTGGGACAAGACCCTCTTCGAAAACAGGCCCGCTTTGCGATCCTCAGAAAGCCAAATCCCGCGTTTTTCCAGGATAGAAAGCAAACCGAAGTGGCAATCAAAGTCGCGGCAACCCCAAACCCCTGGCCCAGGAGACTTAGCAAGTCGGTTATAAGTAGGGTTATAAGTACCCTAAATTCCGCAATTAAAACCCTACTTATAACCTACTTACTAAGTCCCCTGGGCCTCCAAGTAAAGCCCTGAAGCCCGAAACTCCCCGGGGCCCGACCCCACTCACCACGGATCTCATAAGCGCTACCCAAAGAGCCCAATACCCTTAATTAAGGAATACGGCTTAAATTATATATATATATAGTCATATATTTATATACATATATAACAGATATATATATATATATATATGTATATATATTTATATAATCATATTTATATATATATAGGGCTTCGTACTATGATTTAAGCTGTATTCCTGAATTAAAAGGGTATCGGGCTCTCTGGGTAAAACCCGCGTGGGTGCCTGCAGCAAGGCCTCCAGCAGCACTCGGGAAGATGGGGTCGCCACCGCGTCGAGAGGGGTCTCGGGGGAAGGCGTCAGTTGAAGCTCCCCAATAAAATACGGTTGATGATATAAATCCTGCATTACCCTAAGGACCCTAAACCATGGGAATTATGGTATATTCCTTATTATGGGTAATGCAGGATTTATATCATCAACCGTAGTAGAGGTGATTATTTAAGCCCCTTTTTTAAGTCCTTATGATAAACCTTATAGCAGAAACTTATGATAAACCTTATAGTCGAAATTTAAAACCCTTATGATAAACCTTAGAGTAGATGTTGATTATCTAGGCCCCTGCCAATGTTTGTTTGCTGTTGTGCTTTTCAGTCTCCCTGTCTATCTCATTATCTGTGTCTGTGCATATGCATGCATGTATGTACGTATTTGTGTGTATGTATGTGTTCTACCACGAATCAGTCATGTATGCAGTCATTTAGTTTCTGCAAAAACAGAAGTACATGTGCATATATAAATATCTATATGGGAGTTTCCGAAAATAGGGGACCCTAATATAGTACCCCAAAGACTAGGATCCTGATTATGAGGACCCCAGAATAAGGTACCCCGTATTTTCGGAAACTCCCATATTGAAATCCTTATGATAGACCTTATAGTAGTCCTTATAGACTTATGGATGCTGCGGGCCCTTGGGTTGGCGAATGTCCACCGAGTCTTCAAACTGTGGTTACACAAGACTCCAGGCACTCTGCTCCGTCCAATCCATCCAAATCAAGAAATGGATCTGCACCTTGCGATCCGAATGGAACGAATCTTCAGATAAAATTCACCTGGCAAGTGTGTGTGTGTGTGTACTTGTCGCTTTTTCAAACAGCGATCTGAAGCCTAAACCACCCTAAACCGGGTGCACAGCACTGCTCTGGTAATCGGAGGCGTGAGCAATGACTGCGCTCCGAGTAGGGTTCTGCATACATAAAATCATGGGATAGTTTCAGAAAATCGCTGCGAGATTGACAAGATTCGCGTCAGAGTGTGTCTGCAGTCTGCAGATGCACACGGGAAGAAGACAGGAGAAGCCGAGAAGAACTCAGAACTCCAAACCCAAATCCCAAACCCTGCCCACGAATGCTAAAACCCTCACACCCTAAACCCTAGACACCTAAATTCTAAAGCCCTAAAAGCCCAGCACTTCATCCTCAGCCGAGCAGGAGCCCTGCAAAACCTTCCAAAAGGAATAGAAAAGCATCATAGAACATAGAAGCTGCCCCCACCCTGTAATAGTGACTATGAGGATTATATTAGGGCCCTATTTTTATTAATTCCGATTATACCACTATTACAGGGTGGGGGGGCCCCTTCTTACATAGAACCCTCAAGAACCCCTTGAACCCCGCAGCCCTCTGGAAACAAGGCTGATATTCACTTTTAGGGTTTAGGGTTTAGGGTTTAGGGTTTAGGGTTTAGGGTTTAGGGTTTACCTCAAAGACCCCCCTGAAAACCCTTAACCATCCTAAACCCTCAACCAAGGTCTGCGCATTCCAGTGTCGCAAGAGGAGACGTCTCCGGGATTCTTCGAAGGCATTCTCGTAGGCCGCCTTGATCGGGCTCATTTGAGGGTTCGGTTGGGGCTTAGGGATTAGTGCTTGGAGCGGGTTCTTCTGAGGGCTCCTTGGGGGTTTTTCAGAGCTACCAAAAGAGTCTCGTGAGGCTTACTTTTAGGGTTTAGGGCCTTCAGGGTTTGGGGATTTAGAGCCGTTGGGGGTTTCATAACAGAGATGTTAGGGCAAGGAGGCTCTGGCTCCAGGTTTTTAAGGTGCTACAGAAGTAGGGAGCTACTTTGAAGGTACTTTACATGTTTCGGCATAGATTCTAAAAGGATACGCTTTGGGCTACCTGTGTAGGGCTTGAGATTCAAGGCTTTTTGCGGCTCAGTGCCTGAGAGACGCTACAAACCTGTATAGCGATTGAGAATGGCTTCAGAACTTTTACAGGGTTTAGGCCTGAAGCTCGGGCGTTCAGTGCTTGTGGTTTAAATCTTGGGGCTGCGGCTATTCAGGTTTTGAGTTCAGCCCTTTGGGCTTCGAGATTTCACAACCCCTCACCCTAAACCCTTACACTAACCTGGGAAGCCCGTTAAAGGAAACCTAAATGCCAGGCCTCTATGCAGGCAGCTGGCGCCAGATCCCCAGTCTACTAAGCTAGCCTATGCCAAACGCAAAACCGTAAACCTTAGAAGGGGCCCCCACCCTGAAATAGTGGTATTATAGGAATATAATAAGGCCCTAATATAATCCTTATAGTCACCATTATCGGGTGGGGGCAGCTTCTAACGTAAACTTTTCAGCTTTGGGGTTTGGGGTTTAGGGCTTCGGGGTTTCGGGTTTGGGATATAGGGTTGAGGCTCATTCGGCTCCGAAAGTCTAAGAAAAGTGCAGACGAACCTCGTCCTCAAATCCGAGGTCGTTTCCATGTCAACCATCTCCCAAAGCATCCAATGAAGAGTTAAGAGACCCCACCAAAAACCCGAACTATCCTACATCCTGAGGCCCTAAGCCCTAAACAAGTTGCAAACTCCACCTGAACCCTGCAAACCCTGAGCCCAAAGCCACATAAGCCCTACAACCTAAACCGCAAACCCGAAACCCTAAACTCCAAACCCCAAAACCCTAAACCCCAAACCCCAAAAACCCAAACCCAAAAAACCCTAAACCCCAAACCCCAAAAACCCTAAACTCCAAGCCCAAAACCCTAAACCGCCTACACCCCAAGCCCAAAACCCTAAACCTTACCTGAACCCCCCCAAAACCTAGCTTCTTAAGGACCCATATAAGGAAATCATGATAAGAACCTTAAATCCAAGGGCAGAAGGAGGGACCCTTAATAAGGATCCCTAGGTATATACCCGTAATGTAGCTATAATAAACCCATTCTATGGCCCATTAAAGGGTAGTGGTCCCCATTAAGGGTCCCTCTTTTTCCCCTTTGACTAAAAATGAAGCCCTGCCTGAGGCGCAGCTCGCCGCAAGGAGCTGCCGGCAGGCCCGGCGAGGCTGCCAGGAGGAACTCCCTGGTTGCTTCGGTTGATGATATAAATCCTGGGTTCCTTTAAAGGGATCTATAAGGGTACCTTTAAGGGGTTCGTGAGGGATCTATGGGATTTTAGGGCTTAGGGCTATAAATCCTGCATTACCAAAAAAGAGGAATATACCATAACTCTCATAGTTCAGGGTAATGAAGGCAATGCAGGATTTATATCATCAACCGTTTCACTTTGCTTGGGGTTTAAGGCTCAGGGCTTTAGGGTTGACAGTTTCGGGTTTAGGACTTAAGGCTTTAGGGTTCAAGGGTTAGGGCTTGGGGTTTAGGGTTTTGGGCTTGGGGTTTTCGAGTTTAAGGCTTAAGGTTCAGAGTTCAGCTTTAAGGGTTTAGGGCTTAGGGCTTTGGGTTTATTTTGGGCTTTGGGTTTGGGGTTTGGGGTTTAGGGCTCAGGGGATTTCGGGCTTTTAGGGTTTTAGGGTTTGGGATTTCGAGATAAGGTTTTGGGGTTGAGGGCTCTGGGCTTCGCACTTTTATGTTTCTTTGTCTTTGTCCTCTTCCCTGCTTAGTTAAATAATTTTCTATATGTAGCTGCACTTTTTTTGTTTGGGTTTCGGAATGGGTTTTAAGTTTAGAGGTTTGCGGTCCCCAGTCGGGGTTCAGGGTCCATAGGATCTGTGATTCATTATACTGGGTTTGCAGGCTTTGGGGTCTGAATGCGAGGAGTGCACTAGTGGCAAAGTAAAGTGTCAGAGACCACAGTGAAAAATATGAGACTTAGCATAGTGTAGGTTGACATTGGGTATATAGGTACCCTAGTGGGGCTATCCCAATAGCAACACTAGTTACTAGCTACAAGTTACAACCTATCGACTAAGTTTTTGGGCAAAGAGCCACGAGAATTCATGATGCTATGCTTTCCACTATCGTTGCACCACTTTTGCACAACCGTCATGAGCCGGGAGGCTTTTCTACATCTGTTTCGGCTACCACGCCTTCAGCAGGGTCTCCAGAAGCCCTTGCCCGGCAGGGGTCGACAGCGCATCCACGGGAGTCTGTGGTAAGAGGCGCAGGAAGCTTTTTAACAGGACTCCTCGAAAGTGTTAAGGATTGTAAGAGTAGAGGCAAACTTTATGAAGATCCATCAGGGTTTGCAGAGGCTCTTCAACGGCTTTCGGGGTGCTCTGTGCTCGTGTTTTCTGGTGTTTGCGAGTCAGGGGTTTGCATCGAAGGGTTCGGGGAGGTCTACAGTCCAGCGTTTAAACCTTGTTGGTGTCAACTCTACTTCAAGCGGCTTTGAGCGGCGATTAGGCACTCGGAGGTATTCACAAGAGCTCTTTGGCTTTTGGGTGGTGAAACCGGAGGCCTGTGGCAAGGGAGCGTCAGGAAATCGGAATCCTGACATAGAGCCAAAACCTTTCAAGATTTTAGAGCCGAATGTATTTCCGAACCAGTCCATTTAAGATCCGAAAATCGCCACCCCATGTCTCGCTCTCTCTCCGGAGCGGGCCTCTCGACGCTGCAGCTCCTGTTCGACCGAACGCACCAAGCCTCGGAGTTGGTACTCCTCGGATAGAACTTGCGGGACTTTGTTCGACATCTTCTAGAAATTCAGGGTTTTTTTTTTTGGAAGCCTTTTTTGGGTCTGTAATCAAATTCAGGGTTTAGGGTTTGGGGTAGTCTTCCGAAGACTTTATGGCTTTACAGAAGGCTCACATAGGGGCTTCTAAAACGGATCTGACGACACTTCAAGCTGCCCCTTCGGGTTTCAAGCTTCAGTGGTCTAGTTTAGAAGCTGCCCCCACCCTGCAATAGTGACTCTAAGGATGATATTAGGGCCCTATTATATTCCTATTATACCAATATTACTAGTGTTCAGAATTTAAACCTTGGGGTGCTTTGGGCTTAGGTCTTAGGGGCTCAAAGGATCAAGGGTTTGCGATGCAAGGTTGAAGGCTCGGGATTTGGGGGCTTGGTGTTGAGGCTTGGGATTTGGGGGTTGGGGTTTAGGGTTTAGGGTTTAAGGGTTAAGGGTTTAGTGTTTAGGGTTTGGGGTGAATTCGTGCCCAAGTATGGCAACTCGAAACCCGGAAGTTAGTTTAAGCTGTCAGTTCAGGTTGAATCCCCAAACCTTAAAACCCAACTGTTAAAAGACACATGTTGCGGAAACCCTTCAAGAAGGCCTTGAAGAAACCCTTTAAGAAACTCTTCGCTGGCTAAACTCGAAACCCTCAACTTTACCTGGACCCTGTAAAACCTATCTTGCTAAGGCTCCTTCTTAAAATTTTCCTTACATAAGTCCTTGAAGCAATACTCGATTTGGGGTTAACCTACTTGTCGAGTATCGCGTGGAACTGAAGGTTATCCTTTGGGAGTATACTGGGGTTTTATAGGCATTCTAATGTCCCAACAAGGTTAAAGTTTGCCTATTCTACTACTATAAGTTGCGTATTGCCCCCACTCAGTAACAGTTGAATAAGATTCATAATATAGATATATTCGAACCTTAATAGTAGCCCTATTATAGACTGTTACTGTATGGGGGCAGTACCCAGTAAGCTAGGGTAAACCCTAAAGCCAAGAAGAGCCCAGGCGCCGACAACGCACCTAATTGCTCTCCGGGGTCGATGCGGCCCGACATTGCTTCTCTTGCGCTAACAGGGATTCAGGGCTCCGGGTTTAGGGTCTCAGGGGTAAGCAATGATGATCATCATCACAACGACAACATTTGTGGGAGCAGTAACCCAACATAGCAACAAAAAGAACAGTTATCATAACAGCAATAGCAGCTTAGGTAGTACCACAGGTAAGATCCTGCAACTATAACAGGATTGATGTGGAAAGGCTCACGATGAAAAAAACAGCAACACTTGTTGTAAGCTATGGCAATGAAGGGCTCGTACCTGGCAAGTGCGCGGCCAAGACGGCAAAATCCAACCTGATCTGGACACGTCCACTAAAGTGAACCTTCCACCGGCAGCATAGTCCAGATCTAAATTTTGCTGGGTTCTGAAGGGTTTTAGGGCATAAAAAATTGAAGGGCTTCGGGATGCTTCGGGGCATTTAGGCCTTAAGGCGGGAGGCTGTATTTAAGTTTCCCAATAGCTACAGCTCATCCACTCGCACCATGCTACTAGCTCAAACATCCCTACACGACAGGAGCTTCTCCGATCCCGCCTGCCATCGCCAAAGATCGTGATCATGGTTGAGACCGACGTGCCGACATGCCTGACAAGCTTCTGTTGTTGCGCTCCACCAAGCTTGGAATGCTTTGTAGGCTGTATTCGGACAGGTAAGCAATACATATTCACTACCAGCCTGCTCGTAGAAGCCATAGGACCCCTGCCCAGCTGAGTGTGCGAGGCACGTCGTTTGATCATGGAACTCCTGGACAGTGCTTCTAATTTTGTAGTGCGATAAAAATAACGCAAAACGTTATCTTTCCGTTCCGGTTGATGCCCTGAAATTTCACGTCATTGCCTCATTGGCTTCAAACTTCACCACATCTTCACTACCGGATGGAATGCTGGAGCCCTGCGTCGGCTTTTGCAAACCCAGCAGAAAACCGGTGAACTTCGCTTTCGCCGACATCCGAAGGCGAAGCCTCCGGGCTTGCATGTTCACTTCCGTGAAGTGCAAAGCAGCACCGGCAAGGAGCAAGCATAGGCGAACCCCACACCTCACATCCTGTACCCCATTCGGCAGTTTCATCCCATTCCTCAACCCGCCTAAGACTTCAACCCTTCAAACCCGCGCAACACAAAGCACCTCCCGCAAACCAATACAATAATCCCGAGACAATGCAACCCAACAAAACCAATACAAATATCCATAACATAACTCAAAACCCAAAGCGCCTATGTCCTAAAGGAGGTGTGGGATAAGACCCTTATATGAAACCTAAGCGATTAGAACCATGTCCTTTGAATGACATGACAAAAGACAACAAATATTGTTTGTCCCCTTCGTCTTGTTGCTTTGCTGTTCTGATAATATCTATTGTTCTTCCGTCTACAATTTCAACAAATAGTTATCCATTCCTTACATAAGTCGTCATCATACAGTTTTCAATATATGGTATATTGTCGGTTGTTATATTCATAACTTTATACGTTATCAAGTTCTAGTCATTATTGATTTAGTGCTTTCCTGCTTGCTGCGTGTATAGCAGGATGCTTCTGCGATTAATATATAGGTTCACAATTCTTTAAATGTTGTTTATAACATATGTCTTGTGGCAAAACACAATGCCCATTATGCTCTCTCTTGGTCGTCAAACTTAAGCTCATAATGTTCCAATGTCTCCGTTTTTGGAAACTCAATATCATTGTTATTCAGTTTATTAACATATACGATTCTCTTATTCTTGTAAGCATCACTATCTTTCTCCATTGCTCTTAACATTAACTGATACGACAATTTCATCTACATTCTACATGTATTGTCACATAAAAAAATCATTGTATAACATTCTTCTAGAAGCATTCGCAAACTAATTCAATATTATCTTATGTACTGCGGTTGAATGTATACCATTACTTCCCTTTCACGAGTTCATCCAATGTGAAACACTAGGGTTGCCATGATAGCGGCATTTTGTTCTCCTTCTTCCAAGGATAGCATAGTGCCCTGTCATATTGTAATATCAATAATACATCCTTTAATGTATTTTCAACTTGTATATGCTTATGTCTTCTATGTCTTTTTCATTAAACCAATATCTGCTTCAATTTTCTCAACACGCTCTTCTAATTTCTTTGGTGTTATTTGACGTTTGCCCGATCCTGTATCGCATATTTCAAAACTTCCTGCCTGTGAATTATTATCTGCTTTGAAAATGTCACCGGGGGAATGATGCCTGCCTGTTGAACCAGTTGTTGTATTTCGTTTATCAGTAACAACTCGTTGTTATTATTTAGCCTCTTTTGTTATTTTAGTCTCCTGGTGAGAACAACTGCCCTTTACAACGGCAGGGGATACAAGATATACCATTCTATATCTCTATTACATCTATTTTCGTCATCTCGTCTATAACCTCTAAATAGTCATCATAATCGCGCATATACTAGTAACGATATAATTCGTCTTTGAAATAATCATAATATACCAATGGTAAAACCAGTAAACGTTAAATACTATGATTTTAAACAACCTAAATATGAAGTAGCGCTTAAACTACCTCTAAATATGAAGTAACGCCTAAACTACCTTTGCACAAATAATAACATGTCCGAGTGGTTCCGGAGAAGGAATATTCTTACAATCTATGGTATTACATATTTGTCGAGGCGTTGTTGAAAGGAGTGATATAATTGGTCTCCTTCAATTTCAGTTGATAGTAGCTGAACACCAGTTGAAAAACAAGACAAATTCAAGGTTGATTTCGAAAAAGAGAAATGTATGTTTGATGGGTATATACCAGAAAAAATAAACAAAGGTATTAAATGACAGCATAAGGTAATATAATACCAGAAGAAGAACGACCGGAAGAAATCGTTTTCAATACTTGTTATTGGTGACGACTTCGCCGACAATAGGGCATTTTCAAGAAATTCGGCTTTGCTATATCAATTGTGTCAGAGGAACACATAACGCAACTAATACCATAACAGCAACACAAAAGTTTTTTTTATGTTTCCCCAGGAGCCATCGGCCTGAACTACAAAAATTGACCAAAACACAGGTTCGAAACAAACGACGTAGAATGCTCGATTTCTTCAAAGGTTCAACACCACTTCAAACATGGGGAAACAAAGAAATTTGCAAATGCTGTCAGCCCAATCTAAAATTGGAAACAGGCAGGCAAATTAATGATTTACACAACCTTTTTTTGTGATCAACGAAAGCAGCAGAAGTCCCGAAGATTGGTGCAAACTCTGCTCAAACCCATTATACAAATGTTGATTGCTTACAGCATCTGTGAACATCTCATCTTCGAGTTTCCTTGAATTCGAGATGAAACCGGAGCGTGATAACATCTTGAAAATTTGAATGCACATTCTCTGCAGAGCACTCGGACCCTTTTTCATTTCATGGGCGAGGCCCATAGTGCATTGGAATCCTCGACTCGAGGTCTGCCTCTGATCGGATCGGCATCTGCCGATATCTCAGGGACGAACCCGTCCAACGTATCCCACCGATCTCCCGCAAAATCCCGCTCACCGGGAACTCGAAGGGTAAGACTCGTCCTCTGTACAATGTACACAGTACCTCGTACGACTCGACATAACTCCCGGCATACTATGCCTCTCCTCAACTAGGGAGCTCTCCGAAGAGTACACCGGGGAACCCGCCCCTCTGGTGCAGATAATTTCTAGGGAGGGCTGAGCCCTGTATTTAGGGAGGGTAGGGTGGGATGAAAAAGGACACTCCTGCGACTCAGGTGCTCCAGTGTTCTGTTGGCTATTTTGGCTTGAGAGGAAACGGCGGCGGATGCACATGTATGCTCAAGCGACAACATGTGCAGCACAATCCAAAATGCACTCAGATAATGATTTCAATTCACCAAGCCTGCCCGAAGCACTAAGTTGGACAACATTCTCTGCAGAGCACTCGGACCCTTTTTCATTTCATGGGCGAGGCCCATAGTGCATTGGAATCCTCGACTCGAGGTCTGCCTCTGATCGGATCGGCATCTGCCGATATCTCAGGGACGAACCCGTCCAACGTATCCCAAAGCACTACACCCAATGCACTATCATCCCGCCAGAAAGGCGAGGACAAGCGACTTGACAGAGAAAGGCAGCTGCCAGAGGATGCAAGGGATGTCGCTGGTGTACGCCGAGAATCCTCGTCTTCGGTGCCATGGGTCCCTGTGGCCTTCACGAGAAATGGCATCGGCCCAGTTGGATTTTGATGGGACCCACTCGAACCAAATGTTCGCTTTCAAATGGAATAGCAGCAGATGCACGCTATGTGCAATGGTGTCCAATTCCTTGGAATCACTGCGCCCTCTGACCAATGCCATGAGCGACGCCACATTATCCACAAACCATACGCCGGTGGTATTGCGGAAGAAGGCAGCGAAGCACAGTAAACCTTGGAAAACCATCAGCAACTCAAGCTGTGCGATTTTGGTTTCGCAATCGTCCCAGAGATCGAACACCTCGTCGCTGATGCGGGGTACAGTACCAACTCGTACACCCTGGCGAAAAGCTTCGCTGCTGTGCCAGAGCGCAGGACATTGGCGTTGCGCGCTGAGGAGATGATGTCGGAGATTTTATCCACGAGCCGCTGGCGCACCCAAACTGTAATGGTGCCGGAACGCTGGATTTCAGAAAGATCATGGAGGAGGCCGAGGAAATCTCCGCTTGCCTGGGGAGTCTGGCGCTTAGCTTCAGCGAAAGGGTAGCCGAAAAGACGGAACATTTCCTCCACCAGTTCTTGACTGCGGGGGGCCAGCGATGCGAAATCCTGGCACGTGGCGTCGTCGAAGTAGCAGGAAATAAGAAGAAACAGCAGTCGCCGTGCCACCGTTTGAAGGAAGAACGGGAGGCGATTGAAAGCAGAGACGGCCAATGGAAGGCCGAACAACATGCCCAGGTATCTGCGGAACCTGGGTTGATTGCGATGAGGATCGAAGAAAGCAACTATGCAGGCCCAAGTGTGGGCGGGAATCATCGCGATCTTGCGGTATGCATAAGGCAGGTCTTCACCAAAGGTGGCGAGCTTAAACAAGAAGGACTCGAGGTCAACTCCTCGTGCCGCCAACTCCTTGGCAAATGCCTGGACATGAAAGCATGGTTGCAAGGCTTGTGAAGCCCCCTCATGACCTAACTCCTATGTTTCTATGAAATAATATTATTCCGAAACATTTGCAAAAACAATGGGTTCCGAAATGCGAAAACAATGGGTCCAGAAATGGGTCCGGAAATGGGTTTGGAATGGGTCCGGAAATGGGTCCGGAAATGGGTCCGGAAATGGGTCCGGAAATGCATCCGGCAGGCAACTTATTGCAAAAACCCTAGCAAAATGCATTAAAAATGGGCACTGGAAGCCAGTTTGTGCAGAAACACAAGGAAAATGCAAAGAAAATGGGTCCGGAAATGGGTCCGGAAATGCATCCGGCAGGCAACTTATTGCAAAAACCCTAGCAAAATGCATTAAAAATGGGCACTGGAAGCCAGTTTGTGCAGAAACACAAGGAAAATGCAAAGAAAATGGGTCCGGAAATGGGTCCGGAAATGCATCCGGCAGGCAACTTATTGCAAAAACCCTAGCAAAATGCATTAAAAATGGGCACTGGAAGCCAGTTTGTGCAGAAACACAAGGAAAATGCAAAGAAAATGGGTCCGAAAATGGGTCCAACAGCCTAGCTGCACAGAAACACCTCGAAAATGCAAAGCACATGGGTCTGGGCGGCTGGGATTTCACAGCGCAAATAAACAACAATCCCCGTAGCATTTCCCGACGAACATGAGGAAGATGCGCAAAATGTGTTTCAACATGGACCTCGGAATGTAGTCGTGTAGCCAGCAGCGCATAGCCAGACGTATCAACGAACATACAATAGAATGCGACCGACGACGGCGGTCATTGGTCGAATTTGGTAAAACCGAAATAACCTCAAAAGGAAATGCAAAGAAATGTGGATCATCAACATTGCGGCCAACAATCTGCTCGAGTGCGTTGTTTACACTAAGTACTAAGCCGAATCCAGACATGTTGTCTCCTGCATCCATTTACAGGGGAAAACAATAATCATTCAATAATCATCAACACTGAGAGAAAGAACCTCGCGAAGAAGGAAATGTCGCTATGCCAGCGCAATGCCTAGAGCCTAGGGGCCCACGAAGGGGCGCGGAACGGGCGGAGCCCATAAACTCACATGTAGAAACTGTCGCCACGACACATGCATGTTGGCAAGCACTGAAACCGAGGAGAGGAGAGGAGAGGAGAGGAGAGGAAAGAGAGAGGAGGATGAGAGGAGGGAGGAGAGGAGAGGAGAGGAGAGGAGAGGAGAGGAGAGGAGAGGAGAGGAGAGAAAAGAGGAGAGAGGAGAGAGAGGAGAGAGGAGAAAGAGAGGAGAAGGAACAGGGGGGCAGAGGAGGCAGGGGAGAGGAGAAGGGGAAGAGGCGTGGAGAGGAGTGGAGAGGAGAGGAGTGGAGTGACTGGCGGCGTGGAGTGGAATGGAGTGGAATGGAGTGGAGTGGACTGGATTGGAGTGGCCCGAATTGAAAGGTGAGAGTGAGAGCGACTGACGACCGCTAACAAAGATTTCAGCTTGTCGTAGCGGCTGCAGCGGTAGCACCAGTAGTAATCTCGGAAGCTCGTCGTTGTTTCTGGGCTCGGCGAGCGAAGCGACACAGCCACATGCACGGGCGCAAAGAGCTAAGGCAGCTCAGACCACTAAAGTCACCAAACCAAGCCTCCGGTCCTAAAGCCAGTGAACTAGCTACGGACTCCAGGCACCGCAAAGCTTCACTCCACTACACTACACTTGTCTCGAAATTCGGTCGGAATCGCCCAAGTCATCAAACAAGCAGCGCAAGAAGCCTTCCAAAGAGCTCTATTTGGAACATTGGGTCAGCTGCTGCGAAATGCCACGCTCTTCCATCTCTGCTGCCTACTCCTACATTCTACATAACCTCATGGTATCCATTCCCGCACGCCCGAGGAGAATAGCTTTGCACTCAGCCATTTTTCGTCGCTCAGCTTGAAGTCTCTTGATCTTGATGTCTGACATGTCCAGGAAAATGAACGGAATGCAACAGTAGTTGCAGCATCCCAACACGATGTCACAAGGTTTTTGCACGACCCATCGCCTGACTCCAAGCCACCCACCTCCTGAGGACGACAGTCCAAACATGCACCGATGATTACAAGCCATGCAGTTATGCCACTAGGCAGTACAAGTGTAAGCAACGGCGGCTGAGGTCAAGCCAAGCGTCAAAATTAAAATCGTCAACATGCACGGAATCTCATGTGCGCGCTTGCCTAGGGACGAAGCTACTGTAGGACCCAAGCTTGCCTAGGGCCTAGGGACGAAGCAACTGTAGGACCCAAGACCTCTCGCGAGTTACGACGAAACTCCGGCACATCGAACAGTTGCGCAAATCACTTCTTGAAATTTTTGGCTTCGGCCAGCAGAACTGGCTGGACCGACTGCTCGCTGACACCGATCGCTGCATACTGGCTTCCCTGGAGGGTCGCCAGTTCTTTGCGTATCAGCCTGGCGGCAGCCTCCCTGTCCTTCTCCATGATGGCGCACGCCAGAAGACCTTCAGACTTGTAGATGTACCCCAGGCGGATCGTACTTTCGGTGGAAGATGCCAGGCTTGCGAAGAGCTTGGACACGTCCGAGTGATCCGTGTCGATGAACTTCACCCGCTTGTGCCACGCCACAATTTGGTTGTGAACCTGACGGCATATGGGAGCGAAACTAACTGACTACTTCTACTACTTCGTCACTTGGCATGCATCCAACAAACACTCGCAAACAACAGAATCGTATAGCCGATTCCTGTCACTCAAGTCAAATCCTTGATGTCCGATTGGCTGATTCTGATGACCGAAACCTGATATTGATCTTTCTAACACGACCAAAACACGTGCGGTTGAACCCATGACGACTAGAAGCTTCGACAGTAGAACGCATCCCAGCCTCGATCAGCTGCTTCAGCACCTTCTCCAGGCCTGAGACATCGTTGTCCATGTGTAGAGTCGCCGCCGTCTGGACATCAGCAAGGGTCGACGTGTCGCTCAAGCTTTGCTTCCATGACGTCTCCGGGAGGTGCTTGTCATGCGTCATGTCGGAAACCTTCTCCGTGAAGTCATTGGCCTGCTGTTTCAACTCATCTGCCTTTGCACTCAAAGCGGCAATGGCATCATCCGCAATCTTGAAGACGGGCAAGTCCTGGATGCCCAAAGCAACAAACCGGATTTTCTGCTCGTCCTCATCCGAGATCGCATCGATGTTCTTCCGCGCCTGCACCTGGGCAGTGTGGAATGTCTCGTACTGCTTGACCAATGTCGTCAAGGCATTGCCCTTGGAGTCCGTGGCCAACCGGGCCTCGGTGTTCTGCCCGAGCTTCCTGAACTTCTCCAACTGTTTCGCACAGCTCAATGCTTCGGGAAGCAGCCCGATCCACTGCTGCAAAGCCTTTGCCACGTCTCCCTGCAAGCACTTCGACATGGCCTTCTTCAGGGAGGGGATCACTTCAAGGCCCATGTTCTGGAAGTCGGACGATGCCTGTGACACAGCGGAAGAAAACCAGAACAATGAATGAGTTCACTGTCGTCGCCAATCCCACTCGATAAAACTCTTGCTTGAATACACTCATGAGCCTACAGATGCCTAGCTGCTTTGCCAAAACTGGTTATGACATTCTATGAGCTTATTGCTTACGGGTTACACACGCTTAGCACGAACTTGTATTCCCAGTCACATTCAAAACACACGGACACACAGCACCTCCACAACATGAAAGGGACATCAGCCAGCATTCTATTCGACTCGGGCACACAAAATACTTACTTGGACTTCTCGAGGAAACCAGCCTCGAGGGCCAGCCTCTCCATGATGGCCCATGAGACTGCCTCCAGTTTCTTCACAAGCTCAGGCTCCAAGTTCTCGTCGTCCTCGCCTTTACTGGTACATGCCTTGTCAATGCTTCTCTTGAGCTCATTCACGGGCCATGCCTCGTCACGGCCCACGGCGTCAGCCAAGGTCAGCAGCTTCTGCTGGCTCAGCTCCTTGTCCATACCATTCTGCCAAGCCACGAACTTGCTTCTCAGCTCCATAATGCCCTTGGCAGTGGGGAAGAAACCCAAAGCCTTCATGATCAAAGAGATGTGCACATTCATCTCCTGGGAGATTTCAGTAGTCTTACACATTCGCCCAATGATGCGCTCCAACCGGGCACGAATGAGCTTCTCGAGCTTGTCAGTGGCGTTTTTCCGCAAGCTTTTCCGCAACAAGTCGAAGCGGCCGACGCTCCGGGTGAAGGCTTCGGAGACCTCGTCACTGGCATCCTCGGACTCCTTGCTGAGATCATCAATCAAGGCCTGCAGCTCATCGCCGTACTTCATGATGGAGGTTCCCAGCTTCAGGACTTCATCGGCCGCCTCTTGCCAGAACTTGTCCTCCTGGAAGAACAACTGAAGCGTCCCCAGCAAGTCCATCTTGCTGGCATCCTTCTTGAACTTGGGATCCTCGTAGGTAATGATGTTGCTGACATCCGTGGGGGAAGTGCCTAAGTGCCCCGGCGTCGGGACGAGCAACACAATCAACGAGGACAGCCCCTGCTTGATGACCTCACAGGCGTGCTTGCCGCTCTCGTGAAAGTCCTCGAGATCCTGCACACCGTCATTGGCATAGGCACCCACATATTTCTCGGCCACCATCAGCAAAGCTGCAGTGTTCTTGCTCTCAAGCAAATTGAAGAAAGCCGGGCAAGCCAACGCGGAAACCGTCACGGACTGAAGCTCCTGCAGCCCCGGACTTGATTCATGCTGGCAGCTCTGTGTATCTTGCAAGTCACCGCTCAAGGCACTGATTGTTCTAATCACTGCTACTCTGCTACTCTGCTTCTGGAGGCTGGGACTGCTGCCACTTACAGTAGTTACACTTACAGACTCTTATGGGATCTGCACCGTTGCCCACCACGGCACATGCAGGATTTAAGGAGTCAGGCGCTTTGCTGGCTCTGCTTCCTCGAGAATCTAGAAGCTCTCACCTGGGCCTTGCGATTGCCTGAAACACAGAGTCACTTCTAAGACACGATTCTACTAGACCACTAGTCACTAGCCACTAGGTTCTACATGCTCTTTCCTGGTTTATGTGAACTTCTGTAGCCTGGGGCTTTTTGGATGGATGGATCCCGGGGCTCCGGGGTTACGTAGGCGCAGAAATGCAGGAAAATGTCTTTCTGTCATTGAAAAGTAGTCCACATACTCAAAAAGAGTGTCCGACTACTTTTCAAAATAAATCCACAACAAGCCTAAAAAGGGCGAGTTTTTACTAATTTCGTTTCAAACGAAATTTGCTTTTGGAAATAAAGGTTTCATCCTTGTTAGAGGAGTTCGACCAAAGCAGCAAAACCGATAAAGTCTGTTAAAGGTCGACGCTTTCGGAGTGTTCAAGCATTTTGGGCAAAGGGATGCATAAACAAAAAATCATCAAAAGCGAATGCGACAGCCACGAGCAGAATGATGAGATGGGACTAACAGTCACTAACAACAGAGAGGTCTGATGCTGTCCGAATATGCAATACAGGAAACCCCCTCGGCCTCAGCCTTGGCCTCCAGTTTGGCACGCTCCTCTGTGTCCTCCGAACCCGCGTCACGGATGTCTGCCTCCAGCTCCAACCACAAGAGGTTGAAAGTGCTTCGTTTCGCAGACCATGTCACAGATTCCTCCTTCATCTTGGTGGTCTCGTCATCGTCGTCCGACTCGAGGCGGACCGGGTGAGAGACATGCTTCCAAGCACAAATGATCTCGAGGATGCGGTCTGTGATGTCGGCAAGCTTCGAGCTCGGGGCCTCGCCCAACTCCTGGAACAAAAACTGGAGCTTCGCCTCTGTCACCTGCAACAGAACCTGCCACGGAATGACGATATTTCTCTCCTGAATCAGATTCACGCACACGTCCATGCTGTGGTTGGTCAGCTCGCTGAAATTGTTCGCCAGAGAGTTAGCAGCCTCACACACGTCTATGTGCTTCTGGAGCATCTTGTGCTGAAACTGCTTGTTGTTCTTCATTTCCTCGCACAGCCGCTTCGCCTTGAGAATGTCTCGATGTGAAATAAGACTCATAAAGCTACCCGCGGCCGCAGCCTTAAAGTGCAAAAGTTCATCCGAGAGACCTATAGTCCTATAGTAGTAGTGACTTAGTGCTGCTCCCCTTTTTTGCGCATAAAGCGGGGATTAGAAACATGAATGCCCCACAGAGCTCACTGGGAAAGCTGTGGAACATCTTGCACAAACTGCAATGACTGCAACATGACACATTTCAGACTTTATAAGAAACCAACATCCCTCAGTGATAACTGCGAGAGCATCTGATAAGGGCAAAATAAAAACATGACCTGAAAGCTTGGGCCTTAGGCCTGGATATCAAACCCAACAGGTCCAAAGTACCACACTTGAACAAATATGTCGCCCTACCGCCAAAGTACCACACTTGAACAAATGTGTCGCTCTACCGCCAAAATACCACACTTGAAATGTGTCGCCCTACCGCCCTACCGCCAAAGTACCACACTTGATGTCGCCCTACCGACAACGTACCACACTTAACAAATGTATCGCTCTACCGGGACCGCCAAAGTACGACACTTGAAGAAATGCGTCACTCTACCGCCGAGCTGCTGCATCCACGGACCGCATCAGGCGCTCGCCGTTCAGCAAACGGATTGGGTCGCAACTGGCAAAGCACTTGGGCACTGTCTTTAAAGCAGCCGTGACCGCCTGGAGGGCAGGCGGAATGTTCTCCGGATCCTCGAGGATGGACGCATCCTCTTTGTCACCCTTCTTCTTGGATGATGTTCTGCGCTTCGGCTGAGCGGCAACACCACGTGCTACTCGCGAGGACTGAGCAGGCTGGACTTTTCGGGAACCCTCGGGAGGCTCATCATCGGACTCAGGCTTGCTGGCCTCGGGCTTAGCCGGCTTCTGAACAACTGCCTTCTGGAGCTTTTCCTTCAAGTCGTCCAGGGTTTTGACCGAATTGAAAGCTTGATCGTTTGTCAAACCTTTCGGGTTCTTCTCCAGCTGCTCTGCCGTGTGGAAGCTGTACACAGCTTGGCCTTGCCCCTCGATGAGTTGCTTTGCAGCCTGGAGGAGCAGCTCCTCATGCCGGATGCCGAATCGGCAACTCACTCTACACCGACGTAAGCCATGCACCACATCACACCCGAGCCCTTCCAAGGAGATCAAGAAAAACTTCTTGGGCACTCCGAACTGAGATGGGAGCTCAATCATCTCTGCTTTGAGCACCGTCCCCGAAACATTCGCACATTTCTGGCCTGACAACTTATCATACTCTGCCTCAGTCAAAACACCAAGCTCAACGAACACTTCCATGGAATTCTCTTCGAAGTCCCTCACATTGCTCGGCCGCGGTATGTCCACATGGGAATCATCCTCGCCAAGGCGCACCCTGCACGCCCTCCCGAACTTGCTCTTGAACTTCGGCTCCTTGTCCAGCCTGGATGACAAGCAAGACACCAACTATCAAATCACTTGGTCACTGGGCACGACACTTCTACAACTCGGGATATCACTCGCCGGTTTGTGTGACACATGATCGACTCACCGAGTTCACTGGAACTTCTCCCGACACCACAACATCACCTGTGAACTGGGCGCCGGACATTTCACAGCAACAGGACCACGGCTTCCCGGGATACATCTCGGACCATCCGGAACAACAGTTGTAGCATGCATCAGTGACGTCGTTGCCCATGCTGTCAGTCGATGCCATGGTGCAGTCCTATCACTTCGGCACTCCGGGTTCTGCTTCATAAGCTGCGAAACACAAAACATGCAGCACCCGGCCAGGTTTCCCAAACAAATTCTACCTTCAATCCATGTCCCATCTACGTCTACGTATATTCTAACAACACTCTTCTCAACCAACTTATGACTTCAACCACGGCAACTATGGGATGCTATCTCGCTTGACCGGTAATGTCCTTGGAAGTGCGGCCACAGTTGTAGCACTTCTGCATCGGCAGTGATCTCTTGCTTCTGCCAGCAGTCGACGCCTGCCTGCTGACTTGACTGCCTCGCTCACTGCCCTCTCCATCATCTCGACCGGCTTTGAGCCGCTTTGCCGCCGGCTCCTGCGCGTGAAATGTTCGATCTGTTTTATGTGGTTAAGGTTACATCGAATGTAGACTCAGTGCACAGGACATAGGCGCTCCTAAATCAGGATATCGGCTATCAAAATACTAACAGAATATGGGGAGCACATCCTTTTTCTAGATTCTAGCTAATACACGCTGGCTACAACGTCCAACCTCTAGGACTCTAGGCAATGAGGTGTTACACAAACCCGGTACAGTCACACGTCGAAGCAATTGGTGAATTAGCAGCAGCGATTAGGGTTCCGATGTGTTTCTGCCTCCTGGGCAATGCCAGCAAACCTTCTCAATGGTGGTAGCTGCTGTGACTACCTCCTCACTGATGAGCAGTGAATAGTGATTAGACTAGAAACTAGACACTAGTGACTAGTGGCAGCTAGTGGCAAGTGATCGCGGCTAATAGTGGCGGCTAATGAGTGCCGGAATGCCACTAAATGCCAGGCCCTGTCAAATCAGGAAAGCAAAACAAACTCCTTGGAGCTCTTTCCCATGTCAAGAGTCTCGCTTTGGGGAGGGAGCTGAAGCCTGGGGCCTGTGGAAGCAGCTGAAGCCAAAAATCGTCTTGCAGCAACAATGTGCCTTCCTCAATTGCATCTGGGATCATCTTTGCGGAAGTGTCTGGATTCTGGAGCAAACACAACCAGCAGCACTGCAGAAAGGAATGCGTACTGAGTCTACTTGTGTTTGCACTCAGCCGGGGCTCTTGAACAGCACACTGGAGTCTAGGTCAAGCAGCTCCTGTGGCAGTGCCACAATCAAGGCACATACGAATTTGCTGGGTGCCTGCCGCAGAGTCTAGCCGCTGCTTCTGATATGTTCTAAGCTGCTATATGACACCGAAACAACTCCAAAGACGGCTCGATTCTGTACACTACACGGCCAAAGACTTGGGCGGGCACAAAGAAACACCTGTGCAAGCCTTGAGTTTCCACTGCCATCATCCTCCCGAAGCCCCATGTGCAAGGACATCAAGAAATCAACAACTCCTATGAGTATTTTCACTCCACACAACATATCTCTTTCTAGAAGGGCCGCTCGCATTCACTACTCACTACTTTGAATAGAAAGAAACAAACATTGAGGTCCTCAAGGGGAAAAACCAGTTGGAACATCACAAAATAGCACGGACATGATATCATCTGCTCGGGAATCACATTGTGGGACTAAGACCCAGGGGAAATGCTTCTGGCCAGTTATAAGAACAAACCTTCCAACGATGTAAAATGGTAGTGAGGAAGCGCTTCTAAGGTTCTCGAGGCCGAGTCACCTAGTCTACACAGCCTAGGACCTAGGATCTAGGACCTGCAATGTCTGTTTCAAGTTTTGCATACTTGATTACTATAAGGCTATAAGTGTATCAACACTGCTAGGACGCTAGGAACCATGGTTCGGGCCAATGGCATGCATGAAATCAAGCTACTGCGCGGAACTCGGCCCATGCAGAGTGCATTCACTCTGTCTCTGGGCTACACACATCTGCACTGATGGCTTCCTGTGTTCAAGGCACAAGGACACACTTCGAGAAAAAAACAACTGCAGATCCAACCATTGCAAATCTAAGATTGAAGCTGCAGCTTCCTTCGAAAGGGGGCTGTAACGATCCGCTCAGTGGCACCGCTCCACTGCGACAAGAGCCAACTACAGCCCACCGCCCCACTCATACATACACAATCACGCGGGAAACTGCTTCGTCAAATACAAGCACCACACCACACTGGCAAGGCATGGCAAAGCCATCCCTTCTCCGGCCAAGTCACGGACCTGGCTGTCTCGGACTTCTTCAGGAATGACCAGATCTCTCGGCTGGCAATGAAGGCTAAGCATCTCACGACCGGACAGCACCCGGTCCAAGGAGAAAGAGTACAGAAGAGTACTCGTGGTCAGGGTGTGCACAAACCCAGTCGGTGTACTATGCTTGTTCCGCTTGACTGACTGGCTCACATCCATGAACTTACCTTCCATCATGCTCTGCACGTGTACTGGCTCACAATCCGCATTTGGCTGCACACGCTTTAACTCCGAAGCCACAAAGCAATCCAGCGCTTCCAGCATTCTGGCATTGTTGCCCAAGCCACCCCCAAGAAAGCCTCTCCTGCTGGTCCACGGTTTGAAAGTAGGAGAGACCCCAAGCTGCTTCTTGATAGTCGCAGAATCTCTTTGCCACACAGTGCCCCGGCTCGTCGCAAGTGCCTCAGATACATCTTGAGATTGTTTAGAAACTGTTTATCTCGGAAATATCCAAACCAGGGCACGGTTTGGAGATCTATATTTTGAGCGGTTTGGTGGTTGCAAGAACGAGAGTTCCAAAGTGAGGGTTTTGAGATGTATGTTTTGAGTGTTTTGGGAAAGCAATGCCAACACGAAGAAGAAAAAGGAAAGACGAAACCGTGCCTGGACCCAGCCCCTAAAATTCTCCGAAAAATTAGGGGCCTGGGTCCTTGGGGCCTGGGTCGGTGACCCTGGACCCTAAATTTGCGCAGAATTTTGGGGCCTGGCTACTTATGTATGTTTTGAATGTTCTGTTGGCTGCAAGAATGAGAGTTCGAAAGCCAGGGCTTTGAGATGTAGGTTTTGAGTGTTTTGTTGGCTGCAAGAATGAAAGTTCCACAGCCACGGGTTGAGATGCATGTTTTGAGCGGTTTGTTGGTTCCAAGACTGAGACCAGGGCTTTGAGACGATTGCTTTGAAACGTACGTTTTTAGCGGTTTGGTGGTTGCAAGAATGAGAGTTCGAAAGCCAGGGTTTTGAAATGTCTGTTTTGAATGTTTTGTCGGCTCCAAACATGAGAGTTCGACAGGCGTGGCCCGAGTTCCGGCAACGCAAAATTGCATTGGAATTCCCGACCCATTTCCCAACCCATTTTCGGATCCATTTTCAAACCCATTCTGGACGCCAAAATGGGTCCAAAAATGGGTCCAAAAATGGGTCCAAAAATGGGTCCAAAAATGGGTCCGAAAATGGGTCCGGAAATGGGTCCCGGGAGGCTGGTTTGGCCAAAACCCTAGCAAAATGCAAAAAAAATGGGTCCGGAAATGGGTCCGGAAATGGGTCCGAAAATGGGTCCGGAAATGGGTCCCGGGAGGCTGGTTTGGCCAAAACCCTAGCAAAATGCAAAAAAAATGGGTCCGGAAATGGGTCCGGAAATGGGTCCGAAAATGGGTCCGGAAATGGGTCCCGGGAGGCTGGTTTGGCCAAAACCCTAGCAAAATGCAAAAAAAATGGGTCCGGAAATGGGTCCGGAAATGGGTCCGGAAATGGGTCCGGAAATGGGTCCGGAAATGGGTCCCGGGAGGCTAGTTTGGCCAAAACCCTAGCAAAATGGGTCCGGAAATGGGTCCGGAAATGGGTCCGGAAATGGGTCCGGAAATGGGTCCGTCCGGTGGGCGGGTCCGTTTCTGCAGAAACTCAAGCCAATTGCTCCAAAAATGGGTCCGGAAATGGATCCGAGAATGGGTTTGGAAATGGGTCCTGAAATGGACGTGGGATGAAACATACAGGTCCTCCTCATATAAACTTCGCAACCCTCATGGAACCAAACTATCTGAAACTGCACACATGCCTTGGTCTGGTACAAGTGGACTCAGTCCCAAATCAGAAACAAAGACAATGTGGCAAAAAAATCTGCTCCCAACGACGGTTCTACAACATCTTCCACCAATGGGCTGCGCTGTAGTGTCATTCTGGCGATTCTACGGTGTGTGCAACACACCTTCACCAGAATGATCTTAGTTAGTAAGGCCTAGCGGGACGAGGCACTTGGACACAATCAGGGTGACACAATTCGAAACCAAGGAAAAGCACAGGACAACAACCCGTGTAACAACCCCAGAGATTGATTCCAATGCCTTGGGCCTTGCCTAGAACAATGGGACGAAAACTTCTGGCAGAGCAACCCTGGTCTAGGATCCGAGCGCTCAGGGAAGTGATGAGTGACCGCATTCTTCAGTCAAGCTACCCGGTCATGCAATGTGGAACCAACTGCCGCATCCTCATCCACACGCAGCACCTGATCGATCTCTTTCGGCCCCACACGTCGCTGCTTCTCCAGAAGCTCCTGCAAGTGAGAACGGTTGCAATCAGCATCCAAGCAGGTACCGATACCCAAGTCAAGTGAATATATGCAGGCTCAACGGGATCCCAAAGTAGTGCTTTTGTCTTGACATGCGAAGCAGGCTGCAAACATTTCAGAAGGAAGACTTCACCCTGCAACCCATAGCAACTCCTATCAGCAAAACACAGCACCGGCTAGCAGCTAGCAGTTCGCACAACCGTAAACATCCCAGGCTGCCTTGTACAGGCTCTGCATGAAGCGGGCATCCTCCAGTGAATAGACATCCTTCCGCAGGAAGACCAGGTAGATCCTGCGAAATGTTCACGTGACATCCTAAAAACAAACCCGGAAAGCCGCTTTGCACACTCAGTCACTCAGCTCAGAAAGGGTTGGCAGTGAGCATACCGACGCACCATGACACACCTACACATGACGGCCTAATTAATGATTCGACACTGCACACATCCCGGACGAAACTTTTCCACGCTGCGGCCATGGCCAAATGGTTGCCAGCGACGGTTTGCTGTCCATCTCATTGAAGCCACTGAAGCCTAAGAAATCTCCGAGGGTTCATCATCATCCTCATAGGACAGCCGAGCCCGTTCGTGCAATGCCAACTCTCTGGCTCCAGGCTTGCTCAGGAATTCCGAACGAGCTTGCTGCCTGTCCTGGAAGCTTATGGATTTCATGGTGCTGGCAGCTTTATGTTCTGCCGCAGTCTTGAATTTGCTGCCCAGCTTTAACCAGGCCGAAAGCAGTCCCAGAGGTCGCCCTTGAAAAGGGTTTCGAGCGACAAGATGGGCAGCCGTCGCAGCATTGCATGTCCGGGCTTTACGGCAATCCTCATGCACAGCACAGACCGCCATGAGGTGGTTTTCCTCATGATTGAAACGGATATCGCCATACAAAAGGAAAGAAACCTTGTCTGTAGCTTGCCCTTCTCTACGAGTTTTGCCAGCAGGGCCATCTTTGCTTCCGGAAGCGACCTCTTTGCCTTCCGCCGCTGCAGAAGGCTTCGACTTCGAAGCTTCTTCGGGGTTCTGGTCTTCGTCCTGCTCTGCCAGGCGCATGAGTTCTTCGAGGATTTCGGAACTCTCGGAGCCCCGATCACCATCATCATCGTCCTCGCCATTCGGATCATTCGGGTTGTCCACGAGGAGAAACTCTTCTGCATCGTCATCAACCGATGCCTCCGGGAGTGTTGCATCTGGCTGTCCACCATCCTTCTCCTTGGCGCCCTGGGCGGTGCGTGTTCGTTTGGCAGCGGAAGCTTTCCCAGAGGATGATCGTTTTTTCTGTCCAACTCGCTTCAAGCTCTCTTCATGTCTCCGCTGCTCGTCCACCAAACCCTGCCAAAATGTAAACTCAGGAACTTGCTCAAGCCGTCGGACGAAAACATAGTCTGGAACCATATCCTCTTCCACCAAGCGCTCGCCCGTGCTCAAGATAGTGAAGACAGTGCATTGATACTGGGGATCGAAAGACTCAACAGATTTCAGAAAAGCCTCAATGGAAAGAAAAGCTCGTGCGGGATCCGGAACTTGCAAACGCTGACGACCGTTTTCGTCAGGAGGCCCTGAGGGATCCAACAGCAACACACCCAGCATCCAGGTCGACAGGTTCACATGGCCCAGGTGCAGCCACAAACAACCTTTGCCGGGATCGTTCTGCTGAGTCGCCAACGTCAGCCAGGAGTTGTGCAAAGGTCTGGGGTGGCTGGAAGCTGGAAATGCGAAATCCTCTTCAGGCTTCACTTGAAGTCTCAGAACAATAAAGGCATCATTGAGCAACTTCCTGTTCTGTTGCAGCCTGGCTTGCTTTGGCTTCTCCGATGCAGCCAGCTCCTGAGTCGCTATCGGGAAAGGAGAAGGATTGAAAAGAATACATTTCATTTGGCCCTTCTTCAAAATCCCAATAACATTTAATCAACTAAACCAGCAAGAAAAAGGACCAGAATACAACCGCCAAACAAAACCAAGAATCCACAGGAACCATGATGCCGTGAATGTTTTGCTGCTTCTTCTGCCGTTTGGGAGTGAACTCCGCTTTTAAAAACAAAGTCAGTCGAGCATGGAAAAGCCATGCTCGAAGGCCTTTGCCCTCGCACACACAAAGACCAAGCTGGTTGCACCTGGACAGTGGCTCCTGCAGCTCTCCATCCAATGGAGGTTGTTCGTCGTGAAAAACAATGTCGTTCAGATCACGCCAGCTCTCGAGCAACTTCGCACGATCTTTGCTTCTGCCACTGCCAGCAAGGAAGTCCTGGAGACAAACGACTTCAAAGGCCTTCTACACCTCTGGATCCCACACTTAGCAGACTGATTAGCAGAAACTCAAACACAGCTACACGTTTCCTTGAATGTTAGAGGGTTGGGGTCAAGGGTTTAAGATCTAGCGCCCCCCAACCAAGACTTGCTCAGCATTTAGGTCCTATGGCCATAGGGTCTGGTGTCTAGTCGAATGTTTAGTTGTCAGGAAGAACCAGGTAACCAGATCATTGAAGTTCGCCTGGTCCTGCTAGTAACTGCTAGTAACTAGTACAATAACTACAATCTGGAGTCTTGCATCTGCTCTCACTGCTACATTGCTTCAATTTGCCATGATACAAGCAGCTGCCACAATCTGGAACAAATCATGACTGCTACATCAAGAAAACTCAATCTTTGAACTATGCAAATCACACCTATGAATTATCGTGCCAAGTGTTCAACACTGGTCCTGGCCAAGAGTTTCAGCAGGGATGTGAAGATGGCCAGAGAGGATTCCTGTAAGAGCTGGTACACAATGACTTCTGAAGGATTCACATCCAACTAGACATTGCTGCAGCACTTCGTCATCTTGCTTGTAGCTGCTGCGACTTTCCTCGAAAGTCTGAAGCCAGTCTTGCGCCAGCCTGGCATCTTCCTTGTCTTCCAGTCGAACTACTGACAGCTTCTCTTCCATGTCCTGAAGCAGCCATGCCTCAGCAACATGGCCAAGATCGACCAACTGCAGAGCATTAGGAGATGTTGCGGCAAACTGAACCAACCCATCTTGGCTCTCCGTTGTCCTGGGATATGCTGGCAGGCCTCGGCTTCGAGCAGCCTGAGCCACTTCAGCCATGTCCACATAGTGTTGTTTCTCTTGCTCAGTCAAAGCATGGTATTCGTCCCGAGCCTGCTGTATGCGCTCTCCCGCCCAACGTCGCCCGGACCTAGGGCCGCCGATGTTGGCACTCTGGTAAGCATTCCACGCTTGGCTTCTGCGGGCTTGACGAACCTTAGAGGAGCTCTCCACGGTCTTCTTCTCGTGCTTGACTGACGTCTCGACAGGAACCACATCAGCACGTTTCAGGAAGTTGGACCTCAAAACGAAATCGGCATTGACCAGGGACAGCTCAGGAACCTTTGTCTGAACTCCACGAATAGTGGTGAGCCGTCGGGTCGCCGCGTGTCTCGCTTCTACACCAGCGATGTGTAGGCGGTACTTCGACGCCAATGTGAGCAGGATAGCACGGGCTTCGGGGTTGTCAAGATCATCATACTCTGCAAGCAGAGCCTTTGTCATGGGGCAAAACAGGCAGGGCGAGTCTACCATTGCATCATTTCGACCATCGAGCGCAAGAAACAACTTGATGGGATATGTGCTCCAGCTTCTGAGATGAACTTCAACAGAGCACAAGCTTCTGCTCAGCATTCGGAAATGCAGAGCTTGGACATGCTGGAGACAAGACTCAGAGGGCAGTGGGACCACACGCTCATGGAAGGCCTGATTCATATCTGCACGATAAAGATGTAAGTCTGTACCACGAGCAGCCTCTTGAACGGCAAAGGTTCTTGGACAGTCATTCGCGGCCTTGGCTTGTTGAACTTTCTCCCAGGACACGCTTCCTTTGTCCAAGGTGCGACAGAAAAAACGATGCAAAGGCCCCACTGCAATGCTGATGGCCACCAAAGCTGGCAAGATATCTTGTTGGAACCATGTCAGTGCTTTTTGCTTCATTCGCAGTTTCAAAGCTGCCCAATCCAAGTTACTCGTCAAAGCATCTGTTTCTCGTCGCATTTCCGCAGTCTCTTCATCATCCTCATCGCGATCCTCATCTGGTCTGGTGACATTGTCTTGCAATCTGTGCGCTGCCAGAGCCACGTGTTGCAACTGCTGATTTGCTGCTTGCACCTTGGGCGACAGGTACTCCCGGATCGTAGCTGACAGCAAGGAGTGGCAACATTCTGCAAGCCCGAACCAGCATACTGCCTCAGAGAAGCCAGTCCACCTGTTTCTGGCAAACAACGGCGGGCGCCTTGGCAGGAGGGCCGGAACTAAAAATCTCTCCATAACACGGACCACCTGGTCCACGTCCAGCCCCCATCGTTCGCTGAAGAAGCAAATGTCCTCAGTGTTCTGGAGGTCATCGTGCAAGAAATAGGAGATGATGGCCCGCTGTTTGCGGGCTTTCAGCGTCAACTCCTTCTTGGTCAATGCATCCGGATCGTCTTCATCTCCGATGTCTTGTTTGCTTTTGCCCAATGGAAGAAAGGCGTCGAGAACGGCTTGTCTATAGGCAACATGATCTGGATTCTCTCGTGGAGCACCATAGCACACACGAACCTTGTCCCGTAGAACTTTGACCATGGCGGCCCGGAGTGACCTTGTGTTGCCAGCGTCGGCGCATGCCAGCGCGGTCGCTATCATTCCCGTTATATGGCTATCCACCATACCCAGGACTCGGCTTTGACAGCCCGCCAGACGGTGAATGTCGCACAGCTGATGAGATACCACTCCATTGATGGCAGAGCTCATATGTCTCTCAGCTTTGACATTGGCAGCAAATCTGTCCGTGCAGGTCAAATCAATACGGAATTTGGATTTTTCAGTAAGCTCATTCAAGCCGGGAATCATCTGCAAAAGTGAAGTCTGAGCTGCCACGGTTGTCTCTGCAGTTGTCCTGTCTATGGCCTGAAGCCATGACTGACAGGGAACAGCCAAAGAGAAAAACTTACCGGAAGGTAGATGCTGCATCAAAACAGTGATATCCATTTGGGTCTGTAGTACTTTCGCTGCTCCACCGTCTTCTCTAGCCCTTGCGCGACCTTGCTCGGAATGCGACATCCAAGAAGCTGCTACTTTGCTCGGCGTCTCGTCGTACAACCTCCGGACTGTCACGAGAACAGCTCTGTACTCCGGGCTCACAGCCGAACACAACAGTGTCAAAGTAGACAAAAGCAAGCCCATCATGTAACCAGCGAAATGCACAAGGAAGCTGGCCCCCCACAACAAACACCGTGTTAGCGTCTGTCTTGTAACATCGCTTCCAAAGTCGGCCTCAGCAGCAACACTCGAAACACGCCGCTGCGAGGTGAAGAGCTGCTTAAAGCATGATGCCAGATTCTCATCGCAACGATGCTCCGGTGGGAGGTTTCGCGATTTCACAACTCCCAGTGCCAAAGATTGCTGAAGCTCAGTCCCTATCCAGAGGAACCGAAAAAGCGGTTCTTCAGACCGGACTCTCTCGAGTTCAAGCTTTTCGGCCCGGCAATCTCGCGCATGTGCCACATATTTGGCATAGTCCGCTTTGACAATGCGTCGATCTTTCTGAGAGTCGTGATCTTCAGTCTTGGAGCGACTGATCAATTCATGGAAACCAGCACGACCCTTCGGTCTACCAGGCCCCCGTTTGCCCACGGTTTCAGACATACCACGACAAACCAATCTGAAAGCTTGGAGAATGCCAAAATGCCACTCTTGAAAAAAGCTTTGCCCATTGTGCCACTCTTGCAAAACAGATTATGGCTATGACTATGTGTCTCAGTCTAGAAATCCAGAATTTGCAACTTCTCAATCCCACGTCCTGGTGAAGGATTATGAATACTAGCTGATACCAACCTGGCTTCCTACTACAAGGCTGCAACAGCTGACTCGCTCGCTGGCTGATGAAAACCTGGATTCATGTTTCGAAGCGGATGCGATACTGCCAAACAGGCCGTGGCCTTGAAAGGGAAAAGCATGGAGACCACTGGTTGCGACCGACATTTGGGAGGGTTCGGTTCAGGAGGAGGTAGCAAGGACACTCAACCAGCTGGAAGATCTACAACTCTTGGGGCCTTCGGGTCGGAACTCTTCAAGCTAGCCGCCGCTAGCCTATTGAACAGGCTAGGGGCATCTGACACACCACCCGATAACACGCTACGTCTGCTGCATAGCCATGAGCCTGCATTAGACTTCGACTTGGCAACTTCACTACCGATAAACAAAATCACTACCCAGGTGCACTGTTGAAGCCAGGGAGGGCAACACGAATTTCAAGTGCACGGGCAGTCCTGTCCCGCATAACCTTCACCCATTCCTGATACGAGGCCTTCAAGATCAAGACGTGATAGCCGGGCTTCTTCAGCTCACGTGTTTGCTGCTGCACCGACTGAAGGAACCTGCATCAAGGCTGTGTCGCCGCAAATTCAGGCTTTGGTGCTTGCATGCTGAATCGTCAGGGCTTGGATACAAGCAGTCATCGACACTTCTAGTCAGTTCAAATCTATAGAATCTGCACCTCCTGGGGGCTGAGTGACTACTCGCAGTTGCTATCAACTACCTTGTTGGTCCCAAACTTCCTAAACCCTTGGCACACAACTGCGGGCAGTGACCGAATGACGACAACACAGATCTTGGTCTGTCTGGAGTCTTCACCGAAGAACAAACCAAGGCTACACGGCTACACAAGCATGCACACACGAAAGTCCATCGAAATCGAGTGCCGGCCTGCGCATGAAGGTCGATTCAGTCGAAGCTCCAGCATGGTCGGGCATGTCAAACCCTGGAACTTGTTCCATGATCACTGCTTTGTGCTGACCCACGACCAACATGTCCCGAGCATCCTCCATGGTTGTATGAACTTGGCTATGCTCTGCGACGGAACTGCCCCGATATCGTTTCCCACGAAACTGTGAGAACGGTGGGCAGGGAGTCCCGAAAACACACAGGTCGCAGGATTCCAAAGCGCACTTGCCCGAGGGGTGCTTTAGGCAACCGCAACTCTGAACTTGGTCCCTCATGGTCCGGTGAACATGCTCGGGGTCATGATTTGCCAGAATAATCTTCCGATGCACTTCCTCGGGCTCGGACACTCCTTTGGAGACGAAGGGGATGCCGAGGGCCTGGCACGGCTTCGATTGCAGCAGTCGATGGGAGATTCCACACTTCCAAAAAATCACTACAGTCACTAGCCAAGTCATAAGCCGACACAGCCAGAGAGTCAACATATTTTGGAACTGGCTAGACTCTAGACACTTGTCAGTTCTTGATTCTACATGTCTGCCATGTTTGCATCTAAAACCATGGAGAGGACCAAGCACACACACAATCTCTGACCTTCACACGTCAGGTGTGCCCCACACACAAATCGAACAGCTGCGAAGACTACACTCCGACCAGAATTTGCCCGCGCTCAACACACCGGTAGCCTGAAACCCGCTAAAATCTGTGACGACTTCAAACTCCCTCACGCCTCCAAAACAGATGCTTCCGCAAAGCTGCCGGTGCAGCTTGACATCAAAGTGATGGGCGTGGTTCTCGACACACCTCTCCCTTCCTGCTCCCGAAGATGCATCTTGAGATCGAAAACATACCACTCCTGGGCCGTAAGCTCCGGAACAGGACTACCAGGGACCCGCGCTTCCCCTTCGGTGGGTAACTAAAGGAAACTCTAGGGATTCGCAGGCTTCACTTTGGAGAACGGACTGGGTCGGGTTAGAGGTTATTGTGAGTCACCGGGATTGGTCATTGTTCGATAGGAAGCTCTTGGGCTCTAGCAATTGCGACCACTCCTGCACACCTTATAACACAGAATAGCTGCGTGGACATGGTTTGTTCTATATTGCTACCTGCTGGTACCTGCTACTCGGCTTCATTGCTGCTACTGCTACATCAAACTCCAATTCTGATCAATGCCTGCCACAATAGATTGACTGCTCGTTTAGTTTAGCGGTACGTGGACCGAAAGAAGGAGATGCGAGGATCAAGTCACCATGCAGCCTTCCCTCCACATCTCTCAAACATAACTGACATAGCACATCCATGAATACATGTTTGAAAGCTCTGCACAACACCAGAGCTAAAAGCGCAGCAACCTCAAACGACTTCCAACGCTCAATCAAGGCACATCGGAGGTTTGCGACGACATGGGGATTGGGCTCGGGTCGCTCTCGAGGTCTGAAGAAGCATCCCGGAATGCCTCGGCTTCCGACATGGCCTCGAACTCCTCCTCGACGCTGTCCAGGGCATGCTTTGCCAGTTGTTGCCACCCCAACATGACCGGCACACGAGAAAGATGTGCTTAGTGACACCGTCTACGTGCCTGCCAGCCACTTGATTTCTTAAACACTGCCCGAACGAGCACATGTCACCTGGATTCACACGCATGCCGGGTTGTTCTGGCCCTGCAGCTCTACAGCCTACAGTCTAGGAATCTAGGACTTGTCAGTTGGGACCATGTGTGACCTGACGCGACTTCCCACGCTCTTCCAGAATGTCATAGAGCAGAAGCAGCCACAACACAAAAGTCCTCACAAACTCTTAAAAACTCTCCCAAAACGGTCCATGTCATATCTTGGCGGCATGCTCACAAAGAAAAGCAACAGCAACACACAGGAAACATTAGCGGTCTGGCGCAGCAGGTACCTTTGTTTTTCGGGTTTCACAACTCCTGAGCCTCGACTTCAATGGTGAGTGACTATGTGACTATTTCACCTCTGGCATACACGGGGTCTCACGCGAAAGCCATATCCAATATGTTGTTATTGACTCCTATTCAGCAGTTATAGACCAATCACTTGAATGACCAGCGAAGAAGGGCAGACTGGTGTGAAGTGTAAAGACCGGCACTGGGAAAATGCGTGTACATCTGTGTCTGTGTCTTTGTTTGTCGGTGCGTGCGTGTGTGTGTGTGTGTGTGGCAAACGGATTCGGAAAAAAACATCCGGCAGTCAGGACTTGTTGTGCTACAAAGCATGATTGTAGATTCAACAATACTTGGCGGAGCAACGTACAAAACAATTCAAGACCGAATATGACCGAATGCAACAAACATCGGACAAAGGCTTCCTCGGACTCCCAGATCTATCTCTCAGACATTGGAGCTCCCTTCATGTTTAACCGGTGTTTTGGTTGAGGCTTTGTAATGGTAAAATGTGTAATCAATTGGACTTTTTGACTTATGGAATTTTCTCGTGATTGTTTTTTGTACCGGGACAGAACAGAAGGAACTAGAGTAGTTCAACTAGTAACTAGTAACCAGAGTCAGTAGAGTAGAGTGTTAGAAGACGCAAACACATTCGCAGAAAACACGATGGCGAGTATTGAAGCAACGATATCCGGATAGCAGCAGCCGACCCACTCAGGCAAACCTAGGACCTAGGCCTACATTACTACACACCCCAAGCCTTTCCCAGCCCCCATAATTAATCCTACCCTGCCCTACCTGCCCCACCTTTCAATGCTTGCACCCAAACCAGCACCTTTCGGCGGGAAAACACCGCCTACACCTCAAACCTGGACCTACACCTTTCGGCGCCTACACCCCAAACCTACACACCTTTCGGCATGCCCAGTCTTTTGGACCCATTTATCAATTTTGGAACCCATTTTGCAGCCCATGTTGAAACCCCATTTTGAAACAGATTTTGGAACCCTTTTTAAACCTCATGTATAGAACCCATTCTGTTTGCATTTCTTTCGCATTTTCCTATGTATTTTTGCAAAAACACATTGGCAGGCCCGAAATTCCGACCCATTTCCGGACCCATTTTTGGACCCATTTTTGGACCCATTTTTGGACCCATTTTTGGACCCATTTTTGGAGCCATTTTTGGACCCGGACCCATTTTCGGACCCATTTTCCCGACACCTGGAACCCATTTTTTGGGGGCCCTTTCGCATTTTGGAACCCATTTGTTTTGCATTTTTTTTTGCAAAATATTATTTCCGCAAATCATAGAGTTAGGTCTAAGGGGCTTCACAATGCAAGGCACTGCAGAACTGCAACCGATTGCCGTCAGAACTGAACTCACTTTGCTTACCTTGCTGCGCATCGTCGATACATCTCTTCTTGCCAGACGACTGCGTAATGACGAAACGGCGGATAAGGCGAAAGGGCCGGTGGAAGCTCTGGAGCTCCTCCCAGCCCCAGCAACGCCAGCTGTGAAGCCATTACCGAAGAAGTTGCCGGACAAGTTCAAGAAGGCCAGAGCAGAAGCAACTGTTGAACAAGATGAGCTTAAGTCGGCAAATACGCTGCAGAAGCAAAAGGATCTGAATGAAACGTTGAAGAAGAAGTTCAAGGAGATCCCTGAAGAAGAGACAGACAAGAAGGTGGATCTCGGGCATTTGAAGCCGAGTGAACCACAGGGAGAGCCGCCAAGCAAGGAATTGAAGAGTGTGAATCCGCAGTGGCTCAAGAAAGATGGATTCCAAGGTGCAACCTATTTTCATTGCTTCTATTGCAAAAAAAACGGATGGGCATAAGGCACCGGATTGCCCGGAAATGTACAAAGCTATCGAGAAGTACTGCAAAAGCGCACCAAGACCGGCCAAGGACAATCAGACAAGGAAAATATTTTGCAAGTACTGTTGGCTGATGTACACCCATTGCAAGTTCAGAGATTATCAGTATTATCAGTACAAAGGATGGGGGACACACAGTCCAGATATTTGTCATCACAGGAATGACGTTGAAGACTACATGAGTAGCAACCCCCACAAGCTTCCTGAAGAGATCAAAGAGATGAAGGAAGCTGAAAAGGCTAAAAGTGGTTATCCGCCACAGAAGAGTTGGGGTACAGAGACGATCAAGCCAAAGAAGACAGCTGATGAAAAGAAGAAGGACGAAAAGGATGAAAAGAAGAAGAAGAGAAAATCCGATAAGTCCAAGGACAGCAAGGACAAGGACACAAAGAAGAGGAAGCGAGATAAAGAAGAGGAATTGATCTAAAGCCGGACATGCAAAGGTTGCGGTTTCAAGATCAAAGTTGAGTGAGGGCGGAAAGCCGCCCAGGGCAAGCGAGACACCGTAAGTCAGGTGTATAAACAAGGCCGTAATGTTTTGTCTCACACCGCTGAAAAGCCTGTGAGAAGAGAAGGAAGCACAAAACGAAAAAGCTCAAGAAGCTTGTGAGAAGCGTGGTAAATCCACAGCAACAGCCAAGAGGACTGCGTAATGGTCCCAGGGCACACGACAAAGCACAACGAACGTGTTTAAAGAAAAGGCTGAAAGAGCCAGTAAAGGCTGAAAGAGCCAGCACAGAAGACTTACAAAGCCAAAGTTCTTTTGCAAAGACTCTGAAAAGAGCCATGCCGAACAGACTACCTCGTGTACCACGAGATGGAAAAATAGTGAGAGCGCCTGAGTTTGTAGTTGGCAAGTGCGACTGTTGTAAAACAATGGTCAGCCTAACAGTTTCCGTTTACAGGACTAAAAGTCAACGACAACCACAACAACCACAAAAGCAAGAAGAAGAAAGAAGAAGCTAAAGACGGTTAAAAGTGCTCAAAGAAGAAGCGTGTGAGAAGTGAAGAAGGCTCACCAGAGCATGCGAGAACCGTGGTGGATGTAGGAAATTCTCCTGAAGGAGAGTCACTTCCCCTCGAGTGGCCGTGACATGCAACGCTTACTCGACAGCTGGCCGTACGATGCAGCGACCGGCTCCACTAGGTGACCTCCGCTCTATGCGACCTGGGACCGACGACATACGTCGTTGTGTCGATATTCTGGAAGCTGAGAGAGCTACATAGCCCTGAGTAACATTGCGTCTCACAAGACGGGCAGGTGGTATCCTTCCGCTCTGCATCCACTGTTCGATCGTGCCGGCTCGGCGGCTCATTCTTCTGGCCCGCGGAGGGCCTCGATCTGATGGCACGCCGACCGACGACGTACATCGTTGAGGTCTGATCGCTAACTTTGCACACCAGGAGTTCTCCATATTCCACACTCTTGCTTGGTCACTTGCACGGTGCTCTGACTTGGTTGCGTCGTGTTGGGCTGCCAGCACGTCGACATACG